AATGTTGGTAGACACAAGCACAACGTGTTATAATAAATGTAAATTCGCATTTGCAAACCCGCCACCCCCTTCCATTTTGCCACTTAAACCACCCCATACATCCCCAAGGGTTGTCTAACCAAGTAGGAGGCAAACAGACAAAGCTGACTAATATGTTCAGCGGTACGAAAAGTCGGGTGATATGTCAGGGCATGCAAAGAATGAAGCCGCAGGCCTCTTCTGGACACCAGCTGAAGGCGGTCACTGTGTGTGGTGGTGGCGATGCTCATCGCTGGTGGGGGGCGGGGGTCCCTGATGACCTTTGACCACGGGACCCTGTCACTTCTACTTTCATATACGGAGCATGACAATCATCGCGTGTAGCGGCAGGATGGAGCCAGTTTTTGCCAATCCGTGAAATATGAGCGATGGGTGAGTTTGTCGCTTTTTTTACACGAAAGCCGCGGCACAGGTTGAATAGAGTAAAGTCATTGGCAAGGGCAGACTCGAGATTCGGGGAGTGACGTTCAAGCTGATGTGTGCACGCTGCCTTGCCAGAGTCAGAAGTGACGTCGCTCATCGGATAGTTTAATATCATGTGTCATCCTTGACAGTACCGGATATGATAGTTTAGTTTTTTTTCACATGGTGAGAGATAACATGAACAAAAGGTAATGGCTTTTAGATGAAAGAAAAACTCACTTGGTCTCCAGTGCAATATTACATTGTAAGGATGAAAAATACATTCATTTTTTCAAAAGCATTGTTTTGAAAGAATTTTGTTTGGCACACACAAAAAAGCCTAAATGTGACACGCATGTCATCAGATGACATTTACATCGCTGATGGTAGCTCAAGATGTTTTTTTTACACAACTATGCAGCTGGTATTTTCCTGTAAGGCACAAGAAGAACATGCGTGGTGAGATAACATTCGCATACTAAAGACATAACTCAAACTGTTAAGAAAAGTAAGTGGGCTTGGGCAGCACGTGTCGCTGGAAGGGGTGATGGCCAAAGGTCAAAAATCGTGACGGAGTGGCAGCCGAGGAACGGGGAGTGGCAGCCGAGGAACGGGATGCGTCCGAGGGAAGATCCAGCGATGAGATGGGAGCCATGAAATTGGCTCCTGTGCAGGTGCCCAAATGGATTCGTCACATCGTGGAACCGCGAGAGAAGGGTGACCGACGACTTGGGGGGGCCCTCATCCAGGATTGGGTTGACGCGTCGTGACGGTGAAGCTGACGAGTGGGCAGAGGCCAGAAAATAATCCGGTTTTTCTTACGATTTGGTGACACTTCTTTTGGATGTCGTCTTTTTGAAGGCTCTGGCTCTGCAAACCCGCATCATTCCACGTGTGCACGAGCAGTTCCTTGCCCCGCGCGATTGAGAGTTCGCGTGATGGCTGGGTGTGCAAGAGCTGACAAACACACCGACGTCACTTGCAGGGGAGGAACAAAAACAACAACCCTAGACTTAATAGAGAAAAAAACACCCTCGGCTATTTTGTAAGCAAATTAATGTAATTAAAATGTAGACGTGCAAAAGCAAATGTCATGAAACCCCTGGACAAATATTTGCGTGTTGCCTTGTGCTGTGCCCACAGGTGTTTTTTGAGATAGAGTAGAAGAAACGTCATGTAATACTGTATGTGTGCAATCTTGTATACGGCCCCAACAAAACCATTTTTGTCAATCCACTGCTGGATGACGGCTGCCTCACTATGCAGGTCGTGGTGGATATATCGAACATGCTTCACACGTTGGTTGGTGTGGGTCGGTGAAGGCAGGGTGCATAGACGTGGAAACATAGAATCACTGTACAACAATGGATTGTTCTGCACTGACAGCCGCTGACCACCAAACAACGTAGCCCCGCAACCACGTGCAACGAACCGACCTTGCATGTGTATGGCTGGTCATCCATCTAAGCACCATCTAGGCTCAACCTTGCTGAGCTTCTTGAGAACTTATGAGATCCCGTGTACATTTCAGAATGTTTGATCATAGATGCATAGTCATATACAGCACAGTCGTTAGTCAATTGCTGTATAATAAAATGTTTCTGCACGAGTTATTTTCAATCTCCCCTTCAATGATCTCACTGCAGCTCTTTAACTCCACTGGCTTTCCGTTTTCTATCGCTGTCTTTTCAAATACCTGACGCTCATCTCTTCCTCTCTTCATGGCCTTGCCCCACATTATCTTGCCCCTCGCATCTCCTTCCATGTCCCCTCTCGTCATCTTCATTCCAAATCTTCTCTGTCTCTCTCCTCCCTGTGCCCAATCCTGTGTTCGGTCCTTCTCCCTCCTTGCACCCCTCCACTGGAATCAACTTCCCCTGTACATTGAGCAGGCCCCCTCCTTGACATCATCTCATCCCTCTCTTAAAGCCTCACCTCTATTGCCCAATATCTTCCCTCCCCTCGTCCCTCCACTCCTTCACGTCTCTCCCCCTCGCCTTGTGTGATTCCTAATTTCCCTCTTATCGCTGTTACTCATTCTTCAATCCATGTACGGCCCTATCAACTACGGCATTCCATTATGTCATCAACTTGTAAGCTATGTCAAGCGCATTGGGTGAAGGTGATCCTTAACTATGGGGCCGTCCATAAATGACGTCACGCGATTTTGGACGATTTTTTACCCCCCCCCCTTCATCACACGACGTCACAAAAAGTCAGACCCCCCCCTCAAATATGACGTCACAAAGCTCTGCCCCCCCCCCAAAAAAAAAACATGCTTCAAATCGCTTTAAACTATTGTCATTGTAGTGCGTATTTTATGTGGCGCTGCACTCTGATGTTGTAGGAGAAAACATTTATTAAAAAGTCTATTTAATTAAGTATGTTGTAGGAGAAAACATTTATAAAAAAAAGTCTATTTAATTAAGTAGAACGTGTTGTTTATATTTATTTAAAGTTGCGCATTTTGATGTGACGTCACATTTCTCAACCCCCCCCCCTCGTCACACATCGTCACAAATGTCTGACCCCCCCCCCCAGGTGCGTGACGTCATTTATGGACGGCCCCTATGAATTATATTATATTAAGCTTTTGCTCAATGGATGAAGGTCTTCCGACGCCTTGTTGGTCAAGGGGGTCGTGTGTCTGTTCATCACTATGTGTCAGTGTGGGCTTGCACTCGCTTTTGATGTTAGCCGTGGCCAATAAATCAGCTGTGGGGAGTGGCTTCGGTTTACAGCAAAGTGTGCTAACTACTGTGCCACAGCTCCTTCCCATATATATTATCTTTTACTGATTGTGTAGCAAGAGTTGTATTTTAATGGCTATGATGGGTTTTTTTTGCAGAATTTAGGTTTTGGCCTACAAATATGCATTCGTGTCAGATTATGCTATGCAGGACAATTTCGTATCGTTTTGGGATTTTCGGATTATTTACATGATGTACCGATCCAAGATGTATTTGTGTAGACAAGAGTGACATCACCCGATGCCACGTGAAACAACAGTAGTCTTTGTGGGAAAGAAGACAGACGTGACGTGACTTGCAGCGTTCGATCAATCTGAAACAAGATATTTTCGGATCATCCAAAATTTCGCATCTGGGGCTGACTTTCAGGATTTTCAAGTTCATCCAAAAATTGAGAGCACATCTACGTGTAATATATATAGTAAATATTTATGCACCAACAACGTATCGCTGCATCTGAACACCGTATGCTGTCCACGTATTGCCACAATTCCTTGCAGCAGGAGGCTAATCATGGTAATTGTTGTTACTGCGTGTAGTATTGCTCCACATGAGGTGTAATGTGGACGGATTGTTTGAAATTGGCTGTCTCGCACAAATTCGGAGCGTCCATTGCCAGTGGGAATTTACTCAATCTGGCAGTCACAGGTAGTGATGAAACAAGAAAGGCCACTGCTATATATTTCTTACAGATCCCCCAGTCTATTGCAGGTGGAAATGGACTGGCCAGGTGTGCAAACCGGGATTATAAAACAGAGTTCATAATTGCGTTGCACAGGAAAGTCACCAATGGGGCAAGCCAGCTATTGGCATGTGTCAATATTCAATTGCTTTCTGTAAAGTTCTATGCCATAGAATTGCATGGGGACCATGACCCTTGGGGGGGGGAGGGGGGGAATTGATAGCCGTATAATTTACCCGCTGCAATCTTGTTGCGTTGCAGCAACAATCGTCATCATTCTCTCTGACTGCGAAGTGAAATGGAGCAATAAAACACGAGCGCGGGATTACTGGCTTCGACACATCGCTTTTGAGTAATTATAAGGCAGTTGTGCATGCTTGGGAACATTCGCAGCATTCTAACAGCATGATCACGAAACAGGTAAAATTGCACGTTGTTATAAATAGTCCACGAAATGTGTGTGAGATGATATCAGAAAACAGAATTACAGTCCTACGTGTTGTGTTTGTTGTACAACTTTAGCCTAAAATGTTGCATTGGTTGATAAAGTAATGTGTATTGAATTCCTCGAGTAAATCAAACAACTGATTTATGAGCTAAGGCCTATTATGAGATACTTTTTGTCTTCTGGTTTTCAGTAAAATTTTTGTTTGATCAAATTGGAATTATTTTTCAATGCGCTCTGACCCAAGAAAGAGACTAACACAACGTCATACTATAGTACTTTACATGCAGGCTTATAAACCGGGAATAAAGAGCTCAGACACTGAACTCCCAGTTTTACTCGGGGCACACAGAAAATGAGACATTTCCAAAATTAGAAAGTCACTGCACACCTGGCAAAAAGGAAGCGATTTTGCATGTCTGACAGTGTACCGGGCGTGGGTTTTTTCCAATATCGAGCTTTGAACGTTTTTATTGGGACCTCGTAAAGACTTAATCTCACTTAAACTGCGCTGCCTGTATTACGTGGCCTTTGCTGAGATGCATGGATCAAAGGTTACGGTGAAGTTCAAAGTGTACCTGTCACTATCACCTACGTCGCGAACCTCCCGTGCAACTTCCCGAAAAGCCGTGCGAGTCCTACAAGTCGTTCGTGAACTCCGCCTTGTGTGTTTTTGTTGCAGAGAGGACCCAACGGTGCCTGGATAAGCTGGGCCGGCTGTACAAGCAGCAGTATGCCGTGGCGCTCTTCAACTCCGTGCGGAGCCAGATGGCCGAGCGGTCTGAACCTCAGCCACAGCTCGTGCCACGCAAGGTGAGCCAGCACGCGCAGCCACACCTGAGGTCACGCTCGGGGTCACCCCCAGAGGTTGTGAACAATGGCGCACCAATTGGTCGTGAGTGGTTTCAACGACATCTGTGGCACCTTTTTTTCCCAATATCAAAATGAAAGAAATAGGTTTAATCTTTCGATTTAAAGCTTTCGTGACTGCAGGGATTCATCTTCTTGGTTCTTTCCGTAAAGTCACGTAGAGGGGAAATAATGAAATAATAAAAATGAAACGTAATAAAATAATTCTCATGACGTTTCGGCCACAACGCGAGCAGCCGTCCTCAGGTGAAGAACAGGTCTGTCGGATGCTGTCTTTCCGTCGGACGCTGTCTTTCCGACACACCTGTTCTTCACCTGAGGACGGCTGCTTACGTTGTGGCCGAAACATCGTGAGAATTATTTTATTATGTTTTATTTTTATTATTTTATTATTTCCCTTCTACGTGACTTTACCGAAAGAACCAAGAAGATAGGTTTTATCTGTTTCGGCAATACAACCTTTGGCAAGACATCAGGTCTGCATTAACTACACGTACAAATGAAACGTGCTCGGATAATAGATGCATTGCCTTTGAAACTGATTGGCCTACACCAGAGACAGCCTTCTTTATGGCCTCGTCTTACCACCAGTGTGAGACCAGAGAACGCCAAAAGGCGCACAGTAAAAATGCAATGCGAGTATTAGAGCATTTATAGCTCGGGTTGAGCAATTATATTTTCCGGATTTCCACTACGCTGGTCTTCACGAGATGGGATTGTGGGTGATGGTAATGGATCACACACTGAGCCATCCATCCGTTTTAATTGTGACCCAGGAGGAGGCCACCGAATAAGGTGAATTACAAACGCAGTTTTGCGATACGATGCGTCTACTTCGTGAAGAACCACAACTTCTCCTGCATTGGAACACCAGTATGCAATGCAATGTGAGCTCTGAACCCGGCGATCTGAGTTTAGTCATTGGCCACGGCTAACAACATCAGTGGGCAGTGGTTTCTGAAACGGTGCTAAGCAACCCCCCCCCCCATCTTTCATCAACCCACACTGACCAGCGTGGTGAAGTATGACCAAATAACCTCTGTGAGTGACACAGCCTGGGGACGCCTTCATCTAGCAGTGGATCGACAAAGGGCTGTGAATTCTAGATTTGAAGCTTTCGTGACTGCAAGGATTCATACTCTTAGTTCTTTCGGTAAAGTCACGTAGGTAAAAATTTTAATTAAAATTAATAAAAAATAAAATAGTAAAAATCACGACGTTTCGGAGGCAACACAAGTCTCCGTCATCAGGTGGGACCGTCACAGCACGATTTGCTGCATCAAGGCTGTGAATTATCACTCTTATGAGAGCTGACGACCAGTGGTTGTCTGTGTACAGATCCGGTGTCTATGGCATTGCAAAACATTCAACTAAGTTTGTGTGTGTGATCTCATGGCAATAACCTTGAACTATAAAACATAACAATCATAGTGACGATGCTGTACAATGAGTCTTCCAGGATTGACGTGACGGGCAGCAGCGTATGCAATCACAGACCACACCTAACACACCCAGACCTCAAAACAATAAAAAAATGACCGTACTTGGTTATGCGCAAGTGGCTCTGACACTGCGATGTATGCGAATGAATCACTCTTAATAGTTTGTTCCCATAAAAAAAAACTGCCTGCTATAGTGCAAGAGTCTGATGGGAACGTCGTGCTGATGTCGTATGACGAAGATGACGAAAATAGAATATTTCACATCCATCAGACACACCCTGAGGCCCGCATGTGTCTCCATGATACCGGAATGTCATCGGACCTGTCCGTGTTGTACTGGGGGGCCACACGATGGCCGTGAATGATGCATTGTGTGTGCAAACAGGGCTATGGAGAGGGGTAATGTCATCCTCCCCTTTGCGGGCCCAATTCTGGATAATGTGGGTTAACTATGCAGGGCATACAATTTAAGTTGAATGGGATTTGTTATTTCTCATAAATGTTTGAGGCTAAATGGTTCTAGTGCAGCAGTGAGTCTCGGCCGTTGTCCCGATTGTAAATGGTTTCTTGCATCTCTCTGTAAAACCTATAGTATTCTTACACATACGATGGGTATGTATTTACGTGTATGTGTGTGTATATATATTTTTGTGGGGAGTGGGAGTGCAGCGGTTAGCATGCTGTGTTACAAACCTCGTGGCTCGTTTGATTCCCGCTCACGGCCAACGCCAGTGACGCTTATTTGAACCGGTCCTCAGCCTCCCCTCAGCCTCATGAGTAGCTGGCGCGGTGTGTAAAAACATCGCCACTGGGGAGACCAAGGCGATCGGCGTGGTGCTGGCCACCAACCCCCTCGTGCGCCGTGCCGGCCTTCGTAGGTGCTCGCTATCAGCAAATTTCCCCAAAAGTCTGTTAAGGCTATATGGGGGATCTTTGTCTTTGTTTTCGTGTGTATATATTTTCCTCCAACACGTCCGATCAACGTGGTTAAACCAAATACCGCTCTCGTGGAGGAGGCCCTCGTGGCGATCTGAGCAAACACGCACCGCGCCACACCTTCACCTGCGTTGACGTAATATTTATTGTTTGTACCGCATTATGGCAAGTGGCGGCGCATTGGTTACCATTGATTCTAAATACGCTCGATGGATGCATAGAATTGTGAATGCGAGAGAAAGGATGACTTTCCAGTCGCGTATTTTGTGAGACGCAGTGGTTGACGCGGTGGTTAGCGGCGCTGCAGTCTGAACCCGGCGGCCCGAGTTCGATTCCCGGCCATGGCTAATGTCAGCGGCTAATGACATCTGAACCAACTCGCACTGAGCAGCACGGTGAGGTGTGGTCAACAACCCCCACAACTCGCTCAAGCATGGGAGGCCTTTATCCAGCAGTGGTTTGATGAAGCGCTGTAAGTTATTATCACAAGTCTCATGTGTAATTGATTCACGTACACTCTTCAACAACTGCAGACACTGCATGCACTCCAAAGGCAATTGAATTGTGACCCCCCCCCCCCCCCAAATGACATTTTTTCGCAACTGCCAGGAGGGTGGTGACTGGTGAGTTTAAATAGTTCGACCTTTATTTTGTCTCATTTGCAAGAGTGATCTGGGGCATTAGTGTGCCTGTAAGGGGTGATGATTGGCATGTAAGTCCCACTTGAGTACTTTCGTATGTATGCATTTGTTTTCTTTATATTTTACCGTCTATATAGAAGCGACCTAGCCACAAATGATAGCTCAATGAAGTTTGCATTGACCACAATACCTGTGGTCGGAATGCAAACAAAAAACACAACTCTGATAATGCATGCACTGTCCTTGAAATTGATTGGTCCACACCCGAGAGTGCTTTTCTTAGAGCCTAGTCTCACATGGTGTTGGACCAGATGACGCCAAAAGGCGCCTTTTCGCGTTCTGACCGCAGGTATTGTGGTCAATGCAAACATGACTCTTTGTAAAAAAAGGTGTCAGTTTTGTTGTCAGATAAAAGGGTAAAAAAAACAATTATCATATTTTGCTCCTGGCAAAGGAGGTTCCAATGATTCTAAACACATGTTTCTAAACCTGGAGGGAAAAGTGGGAGGTCCCGGAAAAAAATCCACGCGACCACAGGGAGAACATGCAGACTCCAAATATACAGACGTCGGGGTTGAACCGACGACTTACTGTATTATAGGCGAGGTAGTTAATGTCTCGCCGGCGCGCGATGTACGCGCGTGCTAAGATGTTGTAAATGTATTAGGAAATAGATTTTGTGTGTTTCATGAGACATCAGGTATAAACCATGCAAACTATTGGATTTTCTTGACCTTATCTAAGCCACAGGGCCGTGCGGCATATGTCACGACTATGGTGCGTCGATGCCCTCGGGGAGGAGATGTCATGAGGGAAATCCCTTTGATGCCGCATAGGTGTGAGAATTGGGTGATGGCCTGCGATGGCATCGACTGTTTCGCCGACTCAAATCACTCTTCGCAGTCAACTCACGGCAGTGGATTGCGATCGCTGGAGTCACGTGCAAGTGGGGTCGGTGGAGTTGTTCAACGATGATAACAAAATAAATGTCCTGTAATAATGCTGTTTTTAAATTGTGCACTCTCTTTTAAACACGTTGTTGGCAGCCTGTAACTTACCACAACTGTTGGGCAAAGGCATCCCAATTTTGCATCAATCCCTACCGTAGTTGCCCCTGTCAAGTAGCGACCTCTGAACTCTGTGGTGCAAAACTATAAACTATTTTTTTTTATTTGACCAGGCAAGGCCAGCTAAGCTATTTATCTCTTTTTCAGAGGCGACCTAGCCGCAAATGATAGCTCAACGAAGTGACTTATGTGGAAAGCAGCCAAATACTCGAAACGTACATTGATTCCAAATGTGCAGGGGAAAACCAGAGGACCCAGAGAAAAATCCACGCAACCACGGGGCGAACATGCAAACTCCAAATGTACAACAGGTGTCAAGAATCGGGATCGAACCAACGATCCCCTGTATACCAGGCGAGGTAGTTAACATCTCACCACAGTGTTGTCTCACTGCTGCCATGTCTTCGGCCGAAGACGTGTACTCGTAAACACGATGCACATGCAGCGTATACACAGTGATCGTAGCAGTCCTGTAGGTGTGGTGGCACAGTTGTTACCCCACTATATTGTTATGAACCCAGCTATTTTAGTTTAATTCCCAGTCACGGTTAACATCGTTGGCGACTAATATCCCAACCGGTGCTGCCGGGGGGGGGGGGGGGGGGGCTACCTCTTTGCTAACCAACACTCACCAGCATGGTTCAATTGTGGAACCTTTGACGAGATCGCCCCGAATGCGTGCAATCTGGTCAGATCTCGGAGGCTAAGGAGGGTGGAGTCTGGGTCGTGTTTGCATGGGTGACCACCGCCGTGCACAAACCGGTTGCCATGGTGCTCGCGGGGCTACGTGTTGGGCAGCAGAGGGCAGTGCAGTAAAATAGATTCCTTTACTGTGCTATGCCGTCACCGACTCGCACTGGCCTGCATGGTGAAGTTTGACCAAACGAGACTCCCCGCGACTGATGCAACTTAGGGGGGAGGTCTTCAGCAGCGGTGGATGTCCAAAGGACTGGAGATAATGAATTAGACGGTTACACCAGTGTGTCAAAATTAGGCTGCAGCCGTATATTTAAAAAAAATTACGTCTAAAATCCCCCAAAATCACTCCAGCATGAACATAGATGCAAAGGTGAGAAGGTCTTATGAAAGGTCGTTGTTGCATTGGGACGCGACTTTCATACCGGACTGGTTTTTCAAGGGAAAGGCTGTTTTCTTTTTTTTAACAACAACAATACATTAGTAAAGGCCTTGCCAAGATTGTCGGAGTGATTTATGACGATGCTAATGCATTACTTATGAAACCATGCTTTATCTGTGGCCTTGTCTATTGTGGAGTGTTCGTCTGTTGACTCGGAGTGTGCTGCATATGAGTTGGACTTGATTTATGGGTAAGGTGGCTGACAATAAACCCTTGGCTCGAGGTTCGTAACACGACGTCAAATGCTGAAATAACAATCGTGTGAAATAAAAAAAAGGTGTATCAATCGGGCGTTATTGCAAAGTGGTGACACAGCATTCAAACTCGGACCGTGTGACCTCTCTGTTCAGGACCAACACCCTCGGCCTGTCGATAGATGCCCCACGGCACTAACGTGCACCGTACCGGGCGAGGACAACAATTCGCCTGGTTCTCACTCGTTCTCTCTTCATGCCCCCCCACACACACACACCTCGACGTCACTTCGCTCCTCACACTTGCGCCCTTGGTTACCCCCCCCCCCCACCTAAAACGCAATTTGATGCGGAGCTGGCATTTCTTTCAATACGTTTCGATTTACTCTTAGTTTTTTCGGTGAAGTCAAGTGATACAGCAAATCTGGCTGTGACGGGTCCCACCTGATGACGGAGACTTGTGTTGCCTCTGAAACGTCGTGATTTTTTATTTTATTATTATTATTTTATTTTGATAAATTTTTATTTATTTTAATTTCATTTTTTACCTACGTGACTTTACCGAAAAAACTAAGAGCATGAATCCTTGCAGTCACGAAAGCTTCAAATCTAGAATTAACGTTTCGATTTCTTACGTGACAAAGTAGTTTATTGCCCTCATTTCGATTTGCTTAATTGTCGTGCTTTTGTTATTTTACCTTTTGACATTCTGATGACCTGGGTCACTGTCGAAATTGAGATTGATCCTGGTCTCCAGGTGAGTCATCACGCGTTATCACCTGGTTCAACAAAAATGAACTTGACCAACTGAACTTGCGCGTCGCTGTGTGCCACCCACAGACCCCGCTGAAGCTGCAAGCCTCTTGGGAGGGCTATGTGTTCCAATACCTGCCCAGCAAGAAGAAGTGGAAGGAGCAGTATTTTGTGGTCCAAACTGACTACCAAGTGGCCTACTATGAGACCAAGCAGGTAACATTTGGTTAACCCGAACGCAACGCCGATTTGTGTTTCTCTTCATAGTGCGCTTGTGTGCGAGTTCTATTCACCCTCACGGCCAACACCGCTGACGAATAACTGAACTGGTCCTGGGCCTCTCCTAGGTTGAGCGAGCCTCTAATGCAGTGGTTCTTAAGCTTGCACCTCTTTGGTTCTCAATTGTAAAAAAAAATGTATATTGTTAATGAATACATAGGTTTGATGAAACAAAGTAGTTGCACTTACGCGCCCATGCTTAATTTGTGTTTTCGATGATTTACCTTCTAAAAAAAATCTGGCCATGTCTCGCGCCCCGAGAAAGGGCATCTTGCACCCCCAGGAAGTGCGTGCACCCCAGGTTAAGAATCACTGCTCTAATGGATACCTGGTGTGGTGTGTAAATATCACCACTGGAGAAACAAAGATGGTTAGCGTGGTGCTGGCCACCCACTCCCTCACGTACCGTGCTGTCCTTCATAGCTGCTCGCTAACAGCACAAACACCAACAGTCTGTTAAGGCTGTACAGGGGAATTTTGTCTTAGTTATAGTTCAATATTTGTGTGAGTAGTGGATAGCACGCTACACTACAAATCCGGTGATCCAAGTTGGATTCCCGGTCACGGTATCCAACACCGGTGACGATAATCTGAACCGGCCTTGGGCCACCCCTAGGCCGACTCGGCCTCAAATAAGTACCTGGTGTGGTGTATAATCATCGTCACTTGGGAGACAATGACAACCGGGCGTGGTGTTAGCCACCCATGTCCTCGAGCCATGCCGGCTATCGTAGCTGGTTTTAACAGCACTTGCCCCGATAGTCTACGCAGGCTATACCGGAGATCTTTGTATTTGTCCTTCAGAATCTGAAGATTTATTTATAACTGGAGGAATTCCATGAGCTATGAAGGTATTTTTCACAGATGTCAAGTACTTGCACTCGGCAGAGATTATCTCACAGGTGAACTTCTGAGGGAGGGTGAGGATGTTGTAGGGAATTGTAGGGAATTTCTGCTTTACTGACCTGGTCAAGGCTTGTGATAACATCAATAGGTCAGGGCTCTGGGTTATTATTCGTGCTTTTGGGGTCGTTGGCCCTCTGCTCACGATCATATTCCATATGAAGCTCCAGGTCATCTCAGCCACAGTCATTCCCTCCCTTCTCTATGCTTGCGAAACCTGGACCCCTCTTGAAGGAACATCTGCACTGGTTTGAAACATTCAGGCAGGCCTGCCTACGATCAATCCTTGGTTTAACCAGGTTAAAATGTGTGAGGAGCTCAAAGATCTTTGTAAGATCTGGACACGACTTTGTGTGCTGTGTGAGCATAAGCATTGGGTGTGGTGGCGGCTACACCACTCCCTCCTGTACCGTGTCAACCTCAATAGGTTTCTGCAAGCAACACTTTCCCTCGTGACCGAAAAAGTCAAATTGAAGAGTGTTTTTGTCTGAGAATAGGGTTTCCCCTTTTTTCTGGCAACAAAACAGGTGTTAAGATGTTAAAACACCGAACTGAAAGAAAGCTGTCTCTTGTGTGAACCAATCAGTTTCAAAGACAATGCACTTACTGTCAGAGTATGTGTTTTATTTGCATTCTGACCACAAGTATTGTGGTTAATGCAGACATGATTCCTTGTAAAAGGCTTCAGTTTGGTGTTTTAACATCTTAACACCTGTTTTGTTGCCAGAAAAAAGGGAAAAACCTATTCTCATATTTTGGTACTGGCAAAGGAGGTCCCGTAAAGTTTTTTGTTTATGCGTGTATTCTTGGACATGCACGGTTTGATTCAATCACGTGTTCAGGCAAAGCACAGTTGCAGCACCGTGTTTTCTGCTCCGGCCCATCAAACACAATGTCTGTTGTGGTGAATGTCACACACGCGTGGAGGAGGTAATGGGAGGAGGTCTGTGTGCTGTGTTTTCTCTGCGTGTGTTCACAACAAATGCAATACCGAGTGTTGCTTTACAAACCGGTCTGTCATGTTAGGACAAAGTATGGTTTGTGTGCTAGGAGGAGGGAGCATATGAGGTGGACGCCATTTAATAAAATGGAATGGTTATTGTTCAATTGAGCTCGTTTTGCACAATTGAGGCAAGCACGCCGCGTGAGACAATTTGGTTCCGTAAAGTGCTTTGCAGTTACAGAAATTTTTTACAATCTGCCATTCCGCACTGAAACACAATGGCCCGGTGCTGCGTACGATGACACGAGTTTGTTTACACCGCCGCGTGTTACCAGATGGTGCGCTCATTGGCAATCTGGGCAATATTCCCACAGCACGGTGGAGGTTGGATCTAAGCTGATGCTGGTGGGGTGAGAGTGATGGCTCCCTTCTAGACCACCCAGCCCCCACCATCCAGGAGGTGACGAGTGAGTGAACATGCTTTGTCGTCGTCGTCGCCGCTGGTGCAATTTTCCCCATAGTTATTTCCCGATCGTGCTTTTGGCGTCACGTCATTTGACAAAGAATCCCGTTGGGATTTCTCAAAAAGCAGTGTAACCCTTGGTGTCATGAGAAGGGTACACAGAAGCGGATATCACAGAACTGCCTCCGATATCCCTTCGAGTGACCTTTGGTCCACAAAGTAGGCTGCGGTACTCGTATGCCACGTGAGAGTAATGTTCGTGGCATGATAGTCAAGCTGACATCTTAATCCTCGGTGCTGTATATTATTTATGTGACGTACAGTGCCGAGAATTAATGTGCGATGGTTTTGTGCATTCATTGGCGACTGGGTTGAGACCATCACCTCACGAGCAATTGAGCGCAGTGCTGTAGCGAGGGGAGGGGAGGGCGGCCATCCTGGGTGCCCCTCCAATAATGGCGCAGCCCAAATTGCTGCCACTGAATTGTCAGGAACGAATGAAGCGGTGGCGGCTGGGGTCTCAAATGTTCGAGGAGGGTAGGGGGGCAGGAGTGGGCAGGCACGCAATGGATGGCACCTAAACTAACACTAATTTTATTTTACCAGGTAAGGCCCACTGAGCTACATAGCTCTTTTTCAGAAGCAACCTGCCTGGCCACGGATGATAGCTCAACGAAGTGCCTTATAACATACTCTACACGCAGGTTTCTGAATGTGGAGGGAAAAACCAGAGGACCCGGAGAAAAATCCACGTTACCACGGGGAGACCATGCAAACTCCAAATATACAGCAGGCGTCAGGGTCGGGATTGAACCCACGACCTCCTGCACGCCAGGAGAGGTAGTTAACATCTCGCCACCGTAGAACCGTACCCCGGGGGCCAAAATGTCTAGCTACAGACCTGCTCGGAAAACGCGGGGTTTGATCGCAGGCGTGTTGCTGGATTCGAACCCAGGCTCGCGGAGGAGGCGGGCCTCGCTTGGGTGGTGACCGGTGCCGTTGGCCACTGTCCCCCCCCCCCCCCTTGCCGTACCGTTGGCAGAGGTCGCAACCGGGTACCCGATACCCGTACCCTACCCGATACCCGGCTATCCGTACCCGGCCGGGTACGGGTACCCGTTTGCGACCCTGGTGCGGCCGGGTACGGGTAAGGAATCAAAACCCGTTTGCGACCTCTGACCGTTGGCTACTGTCCCCCCACCCCTGCCGTGCCGTGCCGGCGTGCAGGCCTACAAGGACGGCGCGGAGCCCAGCGGGGTGCTCTGGTGCGCCGGCTTCCAGGTGCTGCCGTCCCTGCAGAAGTACCAGTCCCTGGTGGCCGTCTCCCCCAATGCAGGTGGGTGCGGTGGGTGAGCAAGTCGCCCAGAACCACTTCGGAGGCTCGGCAGGCGTTTGAGACGGGTTATTACTTGGATGGGTGATTTGCCTGGGGAATGCTACGTGTTGCAGCTTTGGGAATGCGTAGCGGCCAGGAGATGCCAGGATGGATATGTATTGAATTCATCTGTGCGGCTGCTCTGAGGGTTATTCCCTCGCGTGTGTAGGTTTTTCACGCCGTTGCAGAACCCTGCGAGCGAGGCTTTCCTTGGGTAAATAAAGGGCACTGCTATTCGTGCCGATTACCTCGCTCAACCCCCACGTCTTCAAAGCAATACGGACGCGTTCTCCGGTCGTGTAATCGCCTCATCTCCCCTTGTCCCCACGTCACCTGTTATCTCGGCCCAGCTTCTGAATACCGGACACATACGTGTCACTTTTTTTTTGTTTCATTTCCATCAGGAACTTGAGCGTACGTTGTATTATGTATTGGCCGTAGTGACTCGCAGATTAATCTCGTTCTTCTATTTATTTTTTAGGGAAGAAACAATTCACTCAGCCCGCTTCCCTCCCCCCCCCCCCCCCGCCTCCTGTCAATCTGATGTCTTGGAACGATCCAGGGCCCCAACATTGATCCACAAATCAATAATTATTTTGTTACTTTGTGTGGGGGGAATGGTAGCATCTTTTGTGGCTGCAGAGGTGGCTTGAACCCATAATGTACAGCGTGTATGTATCTCTGCACCAATCGATGTGTGTATTATGCTCTTACAATAAGATTTTGATCTGCAGAGTTCTGTAACGTACGATTCTTGTAGTGTTGAAGCACACGGTATCAACTGGGGATATTGTACAAACAACATTTCAGTGTTGACCAATTCCTGTTTGCTTCACGGATCTAATATCGTGAAATAATCGCCTTTCGACAACAACTGTTGCCATTCACCACCAAGTGGTGGCGGCGACGTCGCCGCAGCCCTTGCGCCAGGCTAGGTACACTTTGAGGCCACATTGCAGTGTAGAACACTCCACTGGCAAGAGGTCACGGGGTATACCCGGGTGTAATGGGTTAACTGATTGAACTGGGCAGAAGCACCACCTGTGCTCGCCCACCTTGCCAGAGATTGCACCCTCCAAACACTCGCACACAGACACATATTTTTTCTTTTTTACTCTGATACCCCGTGCGTGGATTGCAGAACCCAAGGGCAAGGTGAGTGGCTCCCCACTGTTGCACTGCCCGACCCCGTACGCCGTCTACCTGCTCCACCCGTACCGTGAGCATGTCTACCTGTGCACCCAGACGGCCGAGCGGCACTCCGAGTGCCACGCCGCCCTCAAAGACTCCATCCGGCACGTCAACGCAGGTGCGCCCCGCCGTCTTCCGCTCGTCTGCCACCTCACTCTCCCGCTCTCAATCTCTATGTTGCACACTCGAAATGAAGGACGTGGGCAAAGTGCTCCAAATCGAGGGCAAGCACATTTATTTATTGTGGTTAATATTAATCTTGTGAAGAACCGCACCGTCACTCTGTAAAATGCACCAGCGCGTGTTACACGCAGCAATTCTTCCGAGACGCCATTAACCACGTGGCTGGTTTACACGTGCGGTTATTCATTAACCCTGCCAGCCACCTACAGGCCCGACTCGGTCATCACATGCTGCTGTACACACATGCTGCTGTACACACATGCTGCTGTACACACATGCTGCTGTACACACGTGCATTGATGCACTGCACAGCACATCAGGACTTTCACAGAACCACATTTTACTCCTTTGCTGCACAAGGACATAATTAAAAGAGTGGTCCATTCCTAATGTGCCACATCTCACTCTCCTTCTCTCAATCTCTCTCTCTTTCTCGCTCTCAGTCTCTCGCTCTCCCTTTCTCACTTTCTTGCTCTCTCACACTCACTCTCGCTTTCTCACACACTCTGTCTCGCTCTCACTCTGTTATTTAATGGCTTAATTACAGCCAGAATAGTGCTGAACGCTGGAATTACTTTGGCACGCCACATTCATCTCGCCTTATTTTGTCCCACACCTGCCTATAGTGGTGTAGGAATATTGGGTGCAATAACACGGTGATTTTAGAAAGGTGTACCCTTGTGCTCCAGTGGTAGTGCTTTACGCCAATAAACCCTACGCCAAGGCAGCGTGGGAAGATATTGAGTGAGAAATGAATTTCCGAGTGCAACCAATTAGTGTGTGTGTACGTGTGTACATGTGAGCATTTGTATGTGTGCACGCGTGTGCATTTGTAGGTGTCTGTGTGTGCGCGCGTAGTTGTTATGGGGAGCAGTTGTGTCGTGTTTAGTGCAGTAAGCAATGAACCCAGCGACCCGAGTTCGAGCCGAGTTCATCAAGTACAAATGTCTGAATATGTGAAACCAGTCCTGGGCCTTCCCTAGGTCGACGTAGCCTTTAATAAGTACCTGGTGCCATGTGTAAACAAACATCAGAACTTTGGAGACAAAGGCTGCCGAGTGTGGTGCTGCCAAACACCACCTCCTCGTGTGCCATGCCGGCCTGCACAGCTGCTCACTAACAATGCTTGCCCCAAAGCTCGCATTGTTGTACGAGCCAAATAAACTTAAATGGCCAAGACCCTTCTGTAAACAAAAAGTCTCTAAACTCGGTGTGGTTTTACCGAGTAAGTGATTATTATTATTATTTGTTCACGTCATAAATTTTATGTGCTGTTTGCTTTATAAGTATTTCTTAACCTATTTAGTGGGATCTCTGTCTTTGTCTTTGTGTGTGTGTGCGCGCCCTCGCTCTCCTGCATCCTCGTCGCGGCGCAGCGGGCGTTTCCGAAAAGGTGGAGGTGCAGGCGCTGCGCGAGAGCGTGCGTCTCTACCGGCAGGAGGGCGGCGAGTTCGGCACGTGGGCCATGTGTACCGGCACCGAGGTGGAGGTGAGACGTGAGGGGTGGCACGGCTGTCGTCCGGCACACGGGCGGGGTGGGGGGGGGTGCAGAGGAGAGTGTGGTAGCCAAGTCGTCGCGGTGCTCCCCGAGCCGAAGGCTGCAGCCTTAAATTAAACATGTAATTATAAAACTGAAATATTTAAATATTCTTGGTTCTTTCGGTAAAGTCACGTAGAAGGGAAATAATAAAATAATAGTAATATAAAAAAAAACTTTTTTTATTATTTCCCTTCTACGTGACTTTACCGAAAGAACCAAGAATATGAATCCCTGCAGTCACGAAAGCTTTAAATCAAGATGAAATATTTAATTTATGGCTGCAACATTTTTAGTTTCTATTGCGACTTCACGAACGAGCGCCCGCTGCAAAGCGGGACCAGGAACAGGAATTCCGCGAACGGTAACCCCGGACGTCGGGGCCCCGTGAAGGTGGACCACTGGGTTCACCACCCTACCCAGCTGTGGACCACGTGCGGGGAAGAGGGGGGGGGCATGCATATTTATATGGGAAGGGGAAAGGGGGTAAGGGGGAAGATAACTTGCATAGGGGGGGGAGGAAGGGGAGGGGGGCACGGCAGGGAGGGAGAAGGAAATGGAAAGTTGCAACATTTCTAAAAACCCTTCGGTGTGGCACCGTGTTCATCCAGAACAGACCACACCACGTATGAGGACGCAATGCCCGAGTCCACAGATACGAAGGAGACGTTACAGTAATACGTACGTATGTGTGAACGTCCTTCGTGCCGTACGTAGCCAACCGTGCTGCTCCTGCCGCGGTTGTCTGCTTTGACCACCTGAATGGGAAATTGTAGTTGTTGCTCTGCCATCTACATCAGCAGCCGTATGAAAGAAGAAGAACGCAGCCTTGACACAGTCTCGTTTGGCAACTCGTGAATCTCTGAACGCGTTGGAGGAGGAAAGCCTATGCGGGTGATAAAGAGCATCTGAGCTCATCGGATTCCTCCGGTCTAAATCAAGTTTCTGATTCTGAGGAGACTCCGTAATGATATTCTTAGGTTTTTATCGGTAAAGTCACGTATGTAAAACATTAAAATTAATAACAGTAAAATAAATATTTTACTTTTATTATTAAAATTAATGAAAGTAAAATAAATATTTTACTTTTATGAATTGTAATTTTTTTACCTACGTGACTTTACCGAAAAAAACCTAAGAATATTACTCCGTAATGACTTCACTTTTCCCCATGGTGGCTTTGACATTCGGCCTAAGACTGGTCCTGAGGGACTCCGAAGTTCTCTCCTGACTTTGCAAGGTGGCATTTATTATCCTGACTCCCCCGGGTGCAATCGCAGTTTTGATAAATGCTTTGGAGCTTCCGCGGCTTCTCGAGTTGCATACGTTGCTCTGTGCTCGGGCCCCCCGATTTTCTCCTACACAACTCGCATTGTTGTACGAGCCAAATAAACTGAAATGGCCAAGACCCTTGTGTAAACAAAGAGTCTCTAAACTCGGTGTGGTTTTACCGAGTAAGTAGTTTGTATTATTATTATTCGTGCTGTAATTTGTTAATTTAACATAATTAATCGTGAAATTAGCTTTTTAAGTATTTCTTAATCTTTTTTTTACTTTTAAATGTGTTTTTACCGGGTAAGGCCCACTGAGCTATATCGCTCTTTTTCAGAAGCGACCTGGCCACAAGAGATAGTTTAACGAAGTGGCTCATCACGGAGACATTTATAACATCAGCCAAACACTCTAAACGCACGTTGTTTCTAAATATGCAGGAGGAAATCCGGAGGACCCGGATCATTTTAAACTCGCAACTGAACTGAATCCTGGCTTGGGACTACCCAGTGTTGAACTGAAAGTGACATCTGGTGCGGTGTTTCTACGTCAATGCTGGCAAGCCCACCATGCAGGCGTGGTGGTGCTACCCCCACCCCACACACATACCAGGCCCTAAAGTGCAGTACAGTACCAGTTTAACAGGCGTTTGATCATATTTTGCAACTGTTTACCTGGTGGGTGGCACCGTGGTTAGCAATGCATTGCGTTAAGATGTGTGTTTGTGTCTTTTTTTTTGTGCGAGAGTGTGGGTGAGGTCTTTCACGTGGCCTCAACGTGCACATAGCCTGGCACAAGCGCCATGGTGATGTCGCCGCCGCCACTTAGCGGCGAATGGCGGTTATTGTTGAGGTCCTGAACACCTCTCCTAAGTCGACTCAGCCTCAAATGTGTGTGTGTGTGACAGAGAGAGAATGTGTGTATGGGTGTAGTCCAGGAAAAGCCTCCCTCCCTCTAGGTCGACTCGGCCTCAAATATATACACGTGTGTGTGTGTGCCTGGTGACCCGAGTTCAATTCCTGGCCACGGCTAATGCTAGTGCCGAGCAATATTGATATCAGTCCCTCCCCCCTTCACCAACCCGCACTGACCAGGGTGGTGAAGTATGATAAAAACAACAGCCCATGACTGACATGGTCTGGGGAGGGATTCTTCCAGCAATTAATTTCCACTGTCCTGTAAACAAAAATTTTACTTTCATTCACATGGTTAGTGGCAGCATCTTTATCTTCGTCCGTGCACTGTACCCACTCATCAGCAGAATTATAAATGGACACACCAGTTTAGTCGATCGGCAGGTTTGGTGGGGCAAAACGTGGGTACTCCCACCTCGAGGCAGCATGGAAGAGTAGGCCCGTATCTCTAGGACCTTTTTTGCCAGTGTTAAAGTATGAAAAATAAGAATAGGTTTTACCCATCCTGGCAATAAAACCTTGGAGTGGGCATCTCTTGAGTTTTAACGGAAGCCCCTTCCGCCAGCAGTGGAGTAATCAAGTAATTGCAGGGCCGCACCTTTCTAACTGTCGTGCATCCTCGCGTGCATTCCGCAGATCCTCAGTAACCTGGTGATGGAAGATGTCCTCCCCGCGGTGCAAACCAACTTGAAGTCCAAGCTGCGTGGTAAACCCAGCGACCAGCTCAAGGCGTGGATCCAGGTCTGTGGGGCCCGCAGGCACGACGAGCACCTGGTGCACCTGTGTCAAAAACTCGGCATCAGGTGTCCCAGTACATCCACAAACACACGCCGACCACGCCACCTCCCACCTCGTCTGTGGAAGCGCTTGGGTGCATTTGACATCTTTCGCTGAACTTCTTTCAAAAGAAAAGTCTTAAGTTATTTCCAGCTCAAATGAAGATCGAGATGATGCTCCGATATGCTTTTTTTTTTTATAATTCTGAGCCAGTGGTGGGAATTCCACATTCCTATTGTTGGCTTCTCCACAAAGTTGGACTGATTTTATCTACCACGGAGGGATAATGAGCCGTGTCTACCCCCAACCAGGATTTGATCTTACGACCGTCTGATTGCGAGCCGCTCGCTCTAGTGCTGAGTCGCCTATTTTCTGTGACTAAGTCACCTGGCATTTGCCCATTCTCACCAGATATTGAAAAGCTAAGCAGGTTTGAGTCTACACACTGCTTGGGCGAGCAGCCACCACGCAAAAAACTGGTTTTGTCCACTGCCCCCCGGTTGCAATGTTTGCAGAGGGCAGTGCAGAATAATCCACCGTTGTTACTGCACTATGCTCCAAGGTTATGCTTTCCACCTTGAATAACCCACACTCATGTGAGTCGTGAAGTACGGTCAAATATCCTCTATGACCCACACGGCATGGGGACACCCTCATTCAAGAGTGGATTGACAAAAGGGGCTGTACTCGGCACAATGATAGACTGTCATGGAGTACGAATTATTGGCGAGAGGCACTGCCCCTAGAGTACAGGGTACTAATTCTAGATTTGAAGCTTTCGTACAGGGTACGCTTATCCATAATAAAAACCTCCTATTATTGTACCCTGTGCTCCTAAATTATCCCTTGAGCAGGATAATAACAATGATATGCATGGACTCAAAGTTGTTGCAGTATCATGCATCCGCACAAACCATGGCAGCAGATGGGAATACCGGAGGCACAAATGGAAAATTAAATCCTCTCCGGTGTTCGAATGTGGTCACTCGGGACACTCCGCTACTGCAATCAATCATCTGGCCCGACCACCTCAACGGAAAATTAGAGCCGTTGCTGTACCTCAACACCAGCCACACGAAGAAGAAAGTCGAGATGGATGTTGGCTGGGTGCCATAATAATTGTACGGTTGGCGTTCCGGATTGCTCTGGCTGAAATGAAGCACCGGCCGTACAGCCGCACGGGCTCATCGAACCAGATTATCCACTGTCCCCCCTGTGTCATCGTGCTGAACATAACCACTGGTCGGGGGGGCGGGGGAGGCGGGGGGCGGGGAGCAACAAAGACGATCGGCTGTGCGCGCTTCTGTGCCGCAGGTGAAGGACAGCATTTACGGGCAGGTGCGTAACCAGGTGAAGCCCAGGTACCAGGCGCTCGTCAAGGAGTGCGCCGAGGGCCGCCCGAGGGTCGAAGGGCTCGTCCGCTCCGACCTCAACGAGATCCTCGCCTGCAAGGAGCAGCTGCAGCGCAAGATCCGAGGTGCGGGGACGGATGCGCGTTCGACGCTGGGGGCCGGCGCGGTGGTAACGCTTGCGTCCCACGGCAGGGAGTGCCATGGTTAGATTGCCGACTCGGGCGCCTTCCTGTGTGGAGTATTGGATGTTCTCTCTCCCGCTGCTCTGCATGGGTTTCCTCCCGGATTCTCTGGTTTCTTCCCGTAGATAAAACAACTAATATTGCACACGGTCTAACTGGTATTAGCAAAATATCTCAATACTAACCAGCTAGCTGCAAATGACTCAATTGGGATTGCAAATAGCCACATTGTCCCATACTGAAAAAGTTGGCAGAATCCTCCTGAAAAAGAGTAAACAAGCTAAATTAAGTAAATGTGACGGCCGCTGCCTGTTCTATCACCTGTCCCACAGCATTGCCGTGGCGAAGATTCACGTCTCATTCCATGTTTTTTTTTTATAATATTTTAATTAACAGTGAATGCAGAAACGTACATAACCAGGATACGTGACATTCATATGCTACTAACAATTTTATTTTACTAGGTAAGGCCCACTGAGCTATGTAGCTCTTTTCAGAAGCGACGTGGCCACAAATAATGGCCCAATGAAGTGGCTAATCATGTCCGAAATGTGTAGCAGCCAAATACTCTCAATGCACGTTTCTAATTAACCGACACAGATATTCGGCATAGATATCAGGCACAACCCAGTGCAACGCCAATGGTCTCGCTCGTCGCGATCTAGGAAACAACAGGAGAAGCCATAACTCGGTACCAGTGAGAGCCCGGTTTAATCACAGATGGCGTCCTGGACTCAAACCCAGGGTTCTCAGCGGTGACGGCTCAGTGGCCTGACCTCCGCGCCACCTGACCACCACTTAGATTCGCATCTTGAAGAAACGGCCGGGATATTTCGCATCAGCTTAGCGCAGTGTTCTTCATTGCAAGGCCCGCGGGCCACTGGCGAATCCTGACGGCTCCTGACGTGCCCCCCCCCCCCCCCCGAGAATACACAACTTGTGAAAACACCCCCCATAATCATCATCGTGCTGCTGTCAAACCCCAATGGTTTCAACTGTGTAGCGGCCCTCGCACCGATGGTGTTTTATCGGCGAAAGTGGCCTCCCTTCTGAAATTAGTGAAGAATGCTGGTTTTAGTGAGTTGTTTCGTAATCGGGGTGGAGAAGTGAGTTATTGTGTCTCTGCAAGTCTGACTAGTGATGCAAATTTGGAACGAAAACTTTTCTCAATGTGAGAATCTGGCTGACAACGCAGGGATTATTACACGTCCACGTTGTGCGTAGAATCACTGTGGCTGATGAAAATACATAGCTCTCTCTTGAGATATATAGATATAGCAAATGCCTGCACACTTTAATGACCTTGTGAAAAATTAGTATTTCCTCGGTGTGCTGTCTGTCTCTTGTTTGTTCTGTCTGCAGCAATTATAATCAATATTCTGTTGATAGCATTTAATTACTTGGGGATGTAATCTGCATCATAATTGGTGTCCTTTCAGTGAACACATTTTTTGCATACTATCCTTCAGGGTACACGGTGTCTTCAGATGGGCATCTCTCTGTGACTTCCGCTTGGTTGATTGCACACGTATGTGATGATCATAACAATTACTTCGAGTAACTATTCAAGTGTAAGTATGATGCCTAATGTGCAATGCCTGTAAATGTTTTATATGCTTCCCCTGTTTTATTTATGTGTATGTGTGTGGGGAGTGGTGGCGCAGCGGTTAGCACGCTGCGCTATGAACCTGGCGGCCAGAGTTCAATTCCCGCTCGTGGCCAAGATCGGTGATGATTCTCTGAACCGGTCCTGGGCATCCCTTAGGTCGACTCAGCCACTAATGAGTACCTGGTGTAGTGTGTCAACATCAACACTGGGGAGACAAAGGCGGCCGGGCATTGTGCTGGCTACCCACTCCCTCGTGCACTGTGTCAGCATTCATAGGTGTTACTCGCTAACGGCAATTGCCCTTGACAGTCTATTAAAGGCTATATTGGGGATCTTTGTCTCTCTGTGTATGTATATTGAACTTCTTTCACACCGTGCGTAGCCAACCGTGCTTATTGTGCTGTCTATTGTGTCTCTGTGTACATCTAGCCGAGTGCACCTAGCCTGGTACAAGCACTGTGGTCCTGTCACTCCCACTTAGTGGCGAATGGCAGCTGTTGTTTTGTGTGTCCGTACGTGTAGTGATGATGCCGTCGTACAACTACACACTGCCTATAAACTCTGGCCACCCAGGTTCAATCCCAGAGTATACATATCGCCAGTGGCCATTCTCTTCTTGAGAAGCCTTTCACCTGCCCCAGGTCTTTCTTTCCCCCAATGTTTTTTTTTAATTCTGCGATCGTCATCGTGTAATTAGACAAAAAAGCCAGTTCAGAAATCTCACCGAGCAATGAATCCCATATTTCTGAGAACAGCCCCTGGTACATATAATTCACAAGACTTCCAAAAAAGTCCTTCAATAGATTTGTTGCATCACTGTCAAACCGATATTTGTAATTCTCTGAGCTAGACATTAGCCAAATAAAGTGCAAAAACCGAAATGTAATGTTTTTTTTTTGTGTGTGCAGCCATGCGGAGTCCATCAATCTCGGTGCACTTGAATGCTGCCGTTATGATTATTATTTATTACTGGCAAGACCCTGGCAACCCGGTGTGTTGCTGACACCCAGGTCTGATAAGAGGGGGGGGGGGGGGGAAATCGGGTCCAACTCCAAGCTCAAGGGGGCACCCAAATATTACAAGAATACATATTATTTATTTACATGGGAATGAATGTTGGCACCCAGCCAACATTTTGTACTAGGGCCCCAAATATCCGTCTCGCTGACGGCCACCACCACCTTGCTTGCCATATCGGCCAGCTGGCTCTGTGATGGAGTGACCGGCTCAGCAATCGGAGTTCAAATCCTGGTTGGGGGGGGGGGGTTGACTCAGCCATTTATCATGCCGGCGTCCATATGATCAGTTCCACTTTGTGGGGGAGTCAACGGTGATACACTGGCCCTCACATCGTCCCAGGGTCCTGAGATGGCTGGTCTTGGGTCTTGGGTCTTGAGCTACAACTGGCCCCGATCGTCCAGGGAGCTGCCCTTTTATGCCTCGTCCCCAACGAGGGGTGGGGTTGTGTGCACCCCCAGATATCCCACAGAGCACACACAGCCCCCCCCCCCCCCCCCCGTTGGTGGCGCCAAGGGGCTTAAGCGTTTGGGTTGCCTGGGAACCTAGCGCCTGGCGCCAAGGGGCTTAAGCGTCTGGGTTGCCTGGGAACCTAGCGCCTGGTGCCAAGAGGCTTAAGCGTCTGGGTTGCCTGGGAACCTAGCGCCTGGCGCCAAGAGGCTTAAGCGTCTGGGTTGCCTAGGGTCCCAGATCCCCCAGCAGCCCCTCCCCTCTTATGTCACTACATATGGAACGTCACGTGGAACTTCCAGCACTTGGCTCCGTGATTTAAATAGGCGGTGGGCGAGCGCCGTTGACTCTGGCAGCAGCCTTAGTAGGTGCTCGCACGCGGCACTTGCGCCCGACCGTGTGTTCGTGAGAGAGGCTGAGCCGGGGGGGGACCTCTGCACGTGCGTGTGTGAGCACTGGCGCAGCGTCTCGCGCATCTCGCTATGACCCTGGTAACTCGAGTTCGATTCCCGGCTCTCGGCCACCACCAACACCAGGTACGATTACCGTATTTCCCACATATAGCCCGCATACGCATTTATGCGGGAAAATACGGTATTTGAACGAGTCCTGGGTCTCCTCTAGGTTCGACTCGGCCTCAAATGAGTACCTGGTGTGATGTGAAAACATTGCCACTAGGGAGAAAAAGGCGGTGTGGCGTGGCATGGCGTGGCGTTGGCCACCCACCCCCCTCGTGTGCTGTGCCGATCTTCACAGGTGCTCGCGAACAGCACTTGCCCAATAGTCTGTTAAGTCTATACGGGGGATCTTTGTCTGTGTATTTACAGCTTGGGTCGCCCCCAGCGCCGAGCCGTTCTGGAGGAGCCAGGTGCAGCAGGATTTGCCAACTTTGCTCGAGAGCCTCGCGGACCCCGTGGGCGAGGGCTTCTCCCAGCTGCGCGTTCTCTTCATCGGCAAAACCTCCGAGATCATCGCCGAGGTCAAGAACGGCGCCAATAACGACCAGATCGGCAAGGTAAGGGCCTCTGCCGTCACCGCCGGATACCCTCCACTGGAATGTTGACCGCTACGGGATTCGACGGCGTTCTACGTAGAGCGAGCAGTTCACATTCGGTAGGTCGCGGGTTCTAATCCTGCTTCGGGTTGACTTGGTGGCCCCATCATCCCTCGGTGGTCTATGAAATGACCACCACTTTGTTGGGAAGTTGAGTTGGTTGTCCAATGTAGAGGTTTGCTCCTGCCACAGGGATGTATGAATTTCCACCACTGGTGGTCCTCATTTTATCAAAGGGGCAAAGTCAACCCCCAACCCGGCTTTGAACTCACAAATTTAGATCACCAGCCGTGGGCTCTACCGCTGAGCCAACGTTAATAGGCGCTCACTAACATCACCAACCCCTACAGTGTTTAAAGTGTCAAATGTGGGATCGTTGTGCCGTGAATGACCTTGGCTAGTTTCCAGGCAGGTTGCAGTGGGCTCCTAGTTGCTCAAAGCTGTTTGCACCTCCGATTGCACCCCCTGTCACACGGTTGGCTGCGTGCAGTGCGAAAGAAGTTCAACATGCTGACGTACAAAGCAGCACTCTCCGCTTAAGGACTGCCTGCGTGCGTGTGCGTGCGTGATCCCCTGTACGGCACAGCTGATGTCCAAGCTGAAAGTTCTTCCGTACAACGTGGTGGCCATGCAGCCCAGCTACAAGAATGTGGAGGGGCTGTGGGAGCACAAAGAGAGGCTGCGTCAGACGTTCAATTTCACGACACTCGACACGCTCATCGACCACGCTCAGCGACTCATGCAGCAGGTGAAGCATGTGCTCCCCCCACTCCCCCCGCTTCCCCCCCCCCCCATCTCACCCCCCCCCCCCCACATCCTATTAGCACGGTTGGCTACGTACGTTGCAAAAGAAGACATTAATACTTACGTTTCCCACGTGTGTGGCTGCTTGGGTGCTATCTAAAACACGTTTGCTATGCCCGTGAAAATAATTGCTCCTGCATGGGAATTTGAAAGACATTGCGCAAGAGGCGACTGTCCGACTCGTGTCCACGTGCAGATTGAAGTGGGGGGCCGTGGCGGGGAGGGGGGGTACCTCCCCCCTGCTTTGCCTTATGAGTGCTCGGTGTGGGTGCTTGGCCCCCACCGGAATGTCATCTCGACACCGCACTGCTCCGTGTGCTTTTATCGCCGGAGACATTTTTTACAAGGCCCTAAGGAGAACCAGGGGGGGACCCCTGTGTATTTGTCGAGATTATTCGCCGATATCCACAGCGACAGGCTCACTTAGTATCACACTGTGGGGGCCGTTGGCCCCCGGGGTCCCTCCCGCCTGCATCCCCTATTTCGTTTACGTTACCCCACCTCCCTATTGCCCGCTACGGTTTCGCCGGCATTCGAACGCGACGCCCCTACTGTTACAGCCTCGCGCCGCGCTCCCACGCTGCGAGCATACGTGCGCACATCATCGTCAATCAAACGCCGTGCTCGCAGTATAGCCCTGTGCGGCACGTTCCCAATGCGCATCCGTATCCGACACGTAACGAACGTACGCACACACACACCGCTTCGTGCACTCCAACTCCACACGGACTACTCAAGTTACGATCGCGCACCTGTATCACACACGGAGTGAGCACACACGACACCCACTCTCGCACCGCGCTGCGCAACGCTCCCCCGAGGCGAGCCGCAGCACTACAGGATCACTGCGTACACACGCGCACCCACACGCTCACACTGCACGACAAGATCACGCGAGACCACGCTTCGCTATTAATGATTTATTATATGTTACCTGCGACTTGATGTTGAATCAGTGAGTCGACGAGGCTGGCCTATTCCACCCAAACCTGTACCTATTCCCTATTTATCGGCTTACGCTACCCTACTTCACCTCTCCACTTACTGTTTGGTGCTCGCGGAGGTTCGCTGCTCTCTGCGCTAACAGCGCACCTCGATGCGTCGCACGGACGTCCGGGTCGCTGGCTGGAGCTGCTGCTGATCCGCTGGCCTGGAGAGAAGCCCCCTATTTCCCCTCTGCGCCCCTCTATTTATCCTCCCTACCTCAAAGGGGATGCTGCGCTAAACAATGGGCTCGCGATCCTCTAGCACGCGCACGGCGGTTCTGGGCGCTGTTGATATGCTAATCAGTGTGCTGCGTGCAAGGCGTAAATCCTAATTAATCCCTTACCCTCCCTAACAATGGGGCCTGCGCGCTCAAGCGCAATTATCCCAACCCTCCATGACTATGCGCAACAGCCCCTGTGATCCCGTTATTCATGCTGTCCCGTGCCTCCCCTGCTTGCCCCGTCGACTCGTGGGGGTGTGTGTGGGGGGAAATGCGCCTCAACCGCGGTGGCCGAATGCCCCACGCCGCGACCACACCATATTAAGGCCGGCCGCAGCGCCGCGGTGCCACGTAGCACGGGGGAGGTCATCCCATTCCCTGATCGCCGGAAACCGTGAGAATTAATCCCGATAAGGGTCTCTCGGATAAAAACCGGTCGGCCAGGCGACCTCCCCTCGGAGCTCTATGGGGGGGGGGGGGAAATGAGTGCGGGTGTGTTCATGTGAGGTGAGGTGAGGGGGACGCGGGGTCGGCTCCGTTGCTTGGTGGTGGCGAGGTCAGGGATTTGGTGCCTGCCGAACGGCTTCGCGGCGGCGGCATCACATAGCCCCCCGAGGTGCCAGTCCCCGTCCCGGGTTGACTGGAGCACCTCGCTTGGGCCGCGCCCACGAGGAAACGTTGCGGGGTCCGGGGGATCCGTCCGGACCTGGTAGCTGGCCTCGGGGCGGGTGGTTCCGTCCTCTGTAGCTCCTGCGGCGGTCTCCTCCTCCACTCCAGCGGCTCTCCCCGTCCTCCGGCACCTGTGGGCTGGGGCACAAACTCAGCAGCGGAAGGGTTTAGTGGCCGTCGTCCGCGCCGTCTCCGGACTGGATCGGGGCATCTCGGGGGCCCGGCGGGGCCCATGTAGTGTGCGAGGCCCCCCAAAACGAGGGGTGCGGGTACTCCGGGATTTCGGGGCTTTCGGGTGACGGAGTCCTCTCTCGCCGGGGCCGCTTTCCATGGTTTTAAGCGGCGGACATTGACCACCGTCTCTCGACCCCTCTCCCCGCCATAAATTAGTACCGTCCAGGGGGATATCTGCCGCACCACGGTCCAGGGTCCCTGCCAGTAGGTCGTCAGTTTCCCCACCTGCCCGGCCCCGACGCGAGGGGTGTGTAGCCACACCTTAGTGCCTGTCAGGAATAAGGGGGGTTCCATGCGGGGTCGGGTGCCCTGTTCCTGCCGCCGATGCGCGGCTTCCCCTTGCGGGTATGCTCGGCCTCGGGCTTCTCGCAGGGTCTCCAACAGGTGTTCCACGGGGCGGCTTCCCTCCTCCGGCTGGGGGGAAGGGACGCCGAATAGCAGATCTGCGGGTAAACGGGACTCACGGCCGAACATCATTAAAAACGGGGTTTGTCCCGTCGACGTGTGTACGGTGGTGGCGTAGGCGAAAAGGGCGTAGGGGAGGTGTTCGTCCCAATCCCGTTGATTTGCGGCCGCCATACGTTTGAGTTTCCCTGCTAGGGTCTGATTCATGCGCTTTACCATACCGTTCGCTTGGGGGTGGTACGCTGTGGTTCGGTCCTTCTGGATTCCGAATTCTCGGCACAGTGCCTGGAACAGCTCGGCCTCGAACTCGCTACCCTGGTCGGTGAGGACTCGTTCTGGGATCCCGTGCTTGAGTACGTAATGTTCCACGAATGCCCGGGCCACCACCAAGGCCGTTTTATCAGGGATGGCCACTGCCACGGGGTAGCGGGTGAAATACTCTACTGCGACTAGAATATACCGGTTGCCTCGATGGGATCGTGGGAATGGCCCCTGTAGATCGATCCCGACCAGCTGATTCGTGCGGCTGACGTGGAACGGCCTTAGGGGTACCTGGTATCGTGCCGGTTTCGGCCCGCACTGCTGACAGGCGCGGCAGCCCTGTACCCAGGCCGCTACGTCTTGTGCCAATTTGGGCCAGAGATACTGGCGACGCAGGGTCTCTCGAGTGCGTCGTTCCCCATCGTGGCCCCCGAGTGGGTGGTCATGCACCAGCCGTAGCAGCTGGGGTCGCACCTGGGCAGGAACACAGATGCACCCCGGCTGGCCGGCCTCGGTTAACTCCCGTACCACTCCGTTCTGCACACACAACCGGGCATACAAACCGCTCCAGGGTCCTGGTAGGGCGCTCTTTTCCTCCCGCAGTGCCGCCTCCACGGCCGCCAGATCCGGATCTCGCTGCTGGGTCTGTCTCAGCTGCTCGTCGTTCAGGCCCGGGAAGGCGCAGCCGACGTCCTCCTGGATCCGTCCGATCGGGTCCCGAGCCGCGGGTCCCGCGCTTGCCGGGCGGTCGACGGGATCCTCGGTGCCACCCGTGAGGGTCTCTGTGGCGCACACTGCACTCTCTCTCGCTGGGGGGGGGTCAGTGGCCGCGGCCTCTCGGGGGTCCGTTGCTTGCCGGCAGCGTCCCCCCGTGAAACAGGGGCAGGCCTCCTCCGCCCTTGTCTCGACGTACACCGTGGGCCGCCTCGACAAGGCGTCCGCGTTTGCATGCGTCCGGCCAGCCCGATACTCGATTTGCAGGTTGTACTCCTGCAACTGCGCCAACCAACGGGCCATCTGCCCCCGCGGCTCCTTGAATGTAAGAAGGAACTGAAGAGCATAATGGTCAGTGCGTACGCGACATCTCCTGCCGTACAAATACGGCCGGAACTGCTTACATGCGAAAATCACGGCGTACAACTCTTGGCGGGTCACGCAATAGTTCAGCTCGGCCCCACTCAGGGTCCGGCTGGCGTACGCGATGACTCGTTCCGTCCCATCCTGTACCTGTGACAACACCGCGCCCAGCCCGCTGCTGCAGGCGTCGGTGTCCAAAATAAAATCGGTGGTAAAATCGGGGAAAGCGAGGGTGGGGGCGTGGGTGAGGTGGTCTTTGAGAGTGGTGAAGGCCGTCTGGCAGGCCCCCGTCCACTGATAGGGGTGCTTAGGGGAGGTGAGTTGGGTGAGGGGGCGTGCAATCTCGCTGAATCCCTTTACAAATCGACGATAATAGGTGGCGAGCCCCAAAAATGATCTGATCTCCGTCAGGTTCCTCGGCCGCGGCCAATCCACTACGGCACGCACCTTCTCCGGATCGGTACGCACGCCTGCCTCGCTGACGCGATGCCCGAGGTACCCCACCTCACGTTGTGCGATGTAACACTTACGTGGCTTGAGCTTGAGATGAGCCGCTCGCAGTCGCTGGAACACCTCTCGTAGCCTGGACCAATGCTCAGACAAAGATCTACTGAACACGATCACATCGTCCAAGTAAATCAGGCACTGTTCCCATTGCAAACCCCGCATCACCAACTCCATCAGCCGCTGGAACGTCGCGGGCGCATTGGTGAGTCCGAACGGGAGTACTCGAAACTCGAATAGTCCCATCGGGGTGGTGAAGGCGGTTTTTGACCGATCCTCCTCCGCCATCTCCACCTGCCAGTACCCGGACGCGAGATCGAGGGTGGAAAAATATCGCGCTCCGGCGAGGCTGTCAAAAGTGTCGTCGATGCGGGGTCTGGGGAAGGCGTCGCCGAGCGTGACTGCGTTCAATTTACGGTAATCGACGCAGAACCGGGTTGACCCATCCTTTTTCGTTACTAGTACCACCGGGGCTGACCAGGGGCTCGCCGAGGGCTGAATTATGTTATCGCGAAGCATGTCCCCAACCGCCTCTTTGATTTGGGTTGGGGGGCCTCTTTCCCTTGGGGGTGCGGGGGATCGTCCCGCTTCTGACACCAATATGTGGGGGCCATTGGCCCCCGGGGTCCCTCCCGCCTGCATCCCCTATTTCGTTTACGTTACCCCACCTCCCTATTACCCGCTACGGTTTCGCCGGCATTCGAACGCGACGCCCCTACTGTTACAGCCTCGCGCCGCGCTCCCACGCTGCGAGCATACGTGCGCACATCATCGTCAATCAAACGCCGTGCTCGCAGTATAGCCCTGTGCGGCACGTTCCCAATGCGCATCCGTATCCGACACGTAACGAACGTACGCACACACACACCGCTTCGTGCACTCCAACTCCACACGGACTACTCAAGTTACGATCGCGCACCTGTATCACACACGGAGTGAGCACACACGACACCCACTCTCGCACCGCGCTGCGCAGCGCTCCCCCGAGGCGAGCCGCAGCACTACAGGATCACTGCGTACACACGCGCACCCACACGCTCACACTGCACGACAAGATCACGCGAGACCACGCTTCGCTATTAATGATTTATTATATGTTACCTGCGACTTGATGTTGAATCAGTGAGTCGACGAGGCTGGCCTATTCCACCCAAACCTGTACCTATTCCCTATTTATCGGCTTACGCTACCCTACTTCACCTCCCCACTTACTGTTTGGTGCTCGCGGAGGTTCGCTGCTCTCTGCGCTAACAGCGCACCTCGATGCGTCGCACGGACGTCCGGGTCGCTGGCTGGAGCTGCTGCTGATCCGCTGGCCTGGAGAGAAGCCCCCTATTTCCCCTCTGCGCCCCTCTATTTATCCTCCCTACCTCAAAGGGGATGCTGCGCTAAACAATGGGCTCGCGATCCTCTAGCACGCGCACGGCGGTTCTGGGCGCTGTTGATATGCTAATCAGTGTGCTGCGTGCAAGGCGTAAATCCTAATTAATCCCTTACCCTCCCTAACAATGGGGCCTGCGCGCTCAAGCGCAATTATCCCAACCCTCCATGACTATGCGCAACAGCCCCTGTGATCCCGTTATTCATGCTGTCCCGTGCCTCCCCTGCTTGCCCCGTCGACTCGTGGGGGTGTGTGTGGGGGGAAATGCGCCTCAACCGCGGTGGCCGAATGCCCCACGCCGCGACCACACCATATTAAGGCCGGCCGCAGCGCCGCGGTGCCACGTAGCACGGGGGAGGTCATCCAATTCCCTGATCGCCGGAAACCGTGAGAATTAATCCCGATAAGGGTCTCTCGGATAAAAACCGGTCGGCCAGGTGACCTCCCCTCGGAGCTCTATGGGGGGGGGGGGGGGGAAATGAGTGCGGGTGTGTTCATGTGAGGTGAGGTGAGGGGGACGCGGGGTCGGCTCCGTTGCTTGGTGGTGGCGAGGTCGGGGATTTGGTGCCTGCCGAACGGCTTCGCGGCGGCGGCATCACAACACCACTGCATGTAGTGTTGCCCCACCATTAACGTCACGAGATTATCAATGCTTGTATATTAATTGTGGTCTTTTAACTTTTGTTTGAGGTTTTTTCTTCTATTATTTGTTTTTTTAATGAATAGATTCTGCTTTTAAAATCATTGAACTAGTGTTTAATTAGTGGCCTTGTAAAATACTTTAGTGAAATTAAACTACCAATCCCTAGTTTTATAGAAAGACCTGTGCCCCACAGCTCGTAAGAAATTTGGCCCCGTAACAATCTTACACCTTGTCCCTGTCCCCCACCCTCCCCCGAACAAAAACATGACTTAGAACGTTAACTCGTGGTTTATTTGTCTTCAGGGCTCTACTTGCCACTGACAGCAAAGACGTTTTCTGTCGTCGTTTCTAAAAACGTGAGAGCAAAGCGCCGTCCCTGAGGCTGTCCCCAGAGTCGAAGATGCCAGCACGTTTGCGTCCATGCACAGCATCATCTGGCTTTAGCACCGTTCAGAGGCCTTGTCACGTGCAATCCACAATACCAAATGGACGCAAACCACAAAAGCATTCCCGATTCTCAGTGCGGGCTTGCTAGGATAAATTAAATGCTTTAAGCAGCAGCTCGGGCAAGAATATTCGTGCCTCGTTGTGAAAGCTTGCTAAGGATATTTGCGGCGAATTTAAGCAGCCCAAGGGGGGTGACATTTCCACAATTGCAACAGCGCAAATCCACGGAGCCGCACGGCCCCCAAATCTGCGGTCTACTGTCCTCTGAGGAGACGCCACAGCACCGTACGGCTCGTATGAGGCAGGCCCGCTGCTCACTGTGTAACGCAGGATGGTTTAACGCTTGCCACTGAAAATCCACGACTTCACTCCTGGGGAGTGGTGCGTGGGCAATGTGTGATTAATATCCCACGCGTTGCGCCGAGAACAGCTTCGTAAAGTCAGCGTTTTTTTGTGGCTGCGGTTTATGCCACACACTCGCTCACACGCGCAGTGAAAGTTTGGATTTATCGAGTGTCTTACAAGCAGCTGCGTCTCAATACGCTGCACAAAGAGTGGGGCCCATGTGCATGACTGGGAAGCACCGAAAACAGGGGAGCTCTAGATTTTTATATTTTAAACACTTTATATGTAGCAACGTGTCATTGTCAGAGGCGAAGAAGAAAGTATTTGGCCTAGGCTTATAATAGAAGCAGGGAATATGCATTACAGATGGCTGGAGAGAGGGAGTTGCAGATGCTGGGGTCCGTAGTAGAGAAGCGGTGATATCCTTCGGAGGAGAGAAGTAGGCCGGGGCAAGTCGACGTAGGATCTCGAGGCCTGCAAGTGAAGTCTTGTAGGGGAGTCCAGGATCGCATTGGGAGGCAGTGGAGGGATCAGAGTATCGGTGCGATGTCGCATTTATGGGCACGGCGGAAGAGTCTTGTGGCGGCATTCGTGGATTGTTTGTAGTTCTCAGAAGAGCGACTTGAGGAGGTCGTTGATAAGCGAGTTGTGGCTGTCAAGGCGGGGGGTGATGGTACGTGACGGCATTGATGCAAGAGGTGATCATTGAAAATCGTAACCGATGATGCGATGTCTCTCGCAGTTGCTGGACAGCGCTGTGCACACCTTTGAGCAGCTGACACATCACAACATGTCCAAGGGCTCCGGGAATGCACTGACATCCCTCCTGCAAAAGGCACAGGACCGTGTGCTCAAGGTACCACAGTTCTCAGAATTTTTTTTTTCACTTTTCACCCATTGCCTCCATGCATACATCATTTTCGTGCCACTGCTGGTTGAAGGCACCTCCTCTAGAGGGGGGGGGAGCTCTAAACAAGAGCCCCAGCCACCCCTTGAGGGTGCGTTGGCCTACTCTTCCCGTACTAACACCACGATGACTGGGGGCGTGGACACGTGATCTCCCTGTGTGTTGTGGCCTTCGTGACCTGGGGATATTTTGGGGCGGGGGGGCGTGTGGCGGTGGGAGGGCAGAGCGCACAGGGACGAGTGATATCAATTGGGGGGCAGCAATACCAAAGGCGGTTCGGAGACACTGGTTCAGGCAAACTAACTCGGCAGAGTGGGTGAGTCTTTAAGAATGCAGGTGGGAATTTCTCTTGAGTAGGCGTACGGTGATGCGAAAATCCGTGGCCCAAAGTGCGGATGAAACGGTCTGTCAGAGATCCTCCTGTCATTGAGAAACGACACATCCAAGGCGGCGTGCACTTAACCCTCACGACCCGGGGAAATATTTGAACACACGTCACACCACCGCCTGCCCCTTCACTGCAGAAAACAGGTGCCGTGCTTCGTGCTGTGGAAAGAATTTGTTCCACACCTAACATGAGGTGCACCCCAAGGTTAGATCTCCCCCACTCGCCACCATCCTCGGATCTTGTCATTTGATAAAGTCATACCTGACTTGCCTTTATCCCCCTTGCATCTATGCGTGCACCTCGGATTCATACCATGGAATGCACGTAGTAAAGCTTTTTTTATAGCTAAAAACGCCTCCGGTTGGAAATGCATTTCTTGTGGCATTGCTCGGTACGAGGCACTTGCCGCTGAGGCTTGCCTACCGACGTCACAGACGACCTGCCCACGCCGTGTTTGTCATCGTGGCGCTTGGTGAAGGGCGGCGAGGGGGGGAGCGGGGGGGGGGATAAAAAGTGGGTGGCCAAATTATCGATGCTTCCCAAGCGTGTGCTGTAGCATTAAATACAAATTTAAGGCTGCAACATTTTAAAAACTCTCCAGTGTGCAACTGTGGTCATTCAGAACTAAGTTTCCCCCCCCCGGTGGTGGTTTCCGATGAGTCACTGGAGCCACACCCGCCCCAAAAAATTACCCAAACCACTGAAGTGTTGAAGCGCCGGCAAATGTGCCACAGGCGTCTTAAGGTGGCCGGGACTCGGCAAAACAAGAAAACATTGGGGCCGTTCGGTACGTGTAAATATAAAAGCTTGCAAAAAAAACTAAATCGTCTTCAACGCAGCTTGTCTTATTTGATTTGCGTCCGGTTGTTGATGCAAGAACTTTTACAAAATGATTGCATTTACATTATAATGGTCAATACGTGGTCTCCTCTCTGTGCTGGAACCAGTGTGGTGTTCAATTCTATTCTCTCACCTTTTTTCTGAAAATTTTATTTGGATTACATTCCTGTTCCCCCTCCCAATTCTCCCCGTTGTAACCTTTATCTATCGAACATTTATATATATGGAGTGGTATCTCTTGTAATCTCTCATTTACTTGATACAGCTGTCGGGCTGTGACAGTTCCGCCTGAAGACGGAAGCTTGTGTTGCCTCCGAAACGTCGTGATTTTTATTTTATTTTACTTTTAATAATTTTAATTTTTTACCTACGTGACTTTACCGAAAAAAACCTAAGAATATGAACATTTCCGCTCCCTGCCTATTTCATATTTATCTCAAATATTTGTTGAATGTAGTAATTCTTCCCATTTTTCTATGCTACACCTTCCTGTCTCTCCCCGTGTCAATTCCCCCCCCCCCCCCCCAGAAATACGACTATGACAGCAGCACTGTGAGGAAGAAGTTCTTCCAAGAGGCTTTGCTACAAATCACCTTCCCTTGCGTTCTCAAGAAGCTGGCACCCACTTGTAAACAGGTAAGGTAGCAGCATTGCCGATGCCACATTTTTTACATTGCATAAAAAACATTCATCGGTTCCTAATGCAGAAGGGGATGTGTTTTTTTGTACACGTTTTTGTGGGTTTTTTTTTCAACTTGTGGTTTTCCGGCCTCTGCTGTTTTTCTCCTACTAATTGGTTTTCATAGCAGATGTTTCGTTATCTGAACGGCATTGACTATGAAATTGTGACTGCTTGTATCACAAAGGCAAGATTATGTCTCCATGTACTGACCCTGCATTTATCCACTGTTTAAATGCCTCGAACTCCAAGAGCCTAAAATGATACCTCTTCTCAACCGTTTAAAGGGAACCCCCTGTGGCAGCTGTGCATGTGTGACACGTGGTAAAAATGTGCATTCGTCTGAGATAGGGGGCGATGATTGCTATGCGTTATCCCAGGAGTTATTTGCAGGTAATTTTTCAAAATTTGGTAAATTTTGACTGGCACTAGTTCACAATGGCCTAATCTTCTCAAATGAGGCAATGGGGTTTTGAACGTCTAAAGTGAAGCAGACGGCTCTTATCTCATGGCTGATACACCCGCAGTATCAACTGTGTGCGCCGTGGTCTGTTTGTGGCAGTTTGAGTGGTACCACTCAATAGAGGGGGAATAAGAGATGGTCAGAAGCTTTTTTTACTTTTTCAAATGAAAGTGATCTTCGCAGGATAACAACGGTACCTTTACTTGGATGCTGACTTTGAAGGTTACTTTAAAGGGTTACATTTTCAGTTATCCAAATGTGTTGAAAGCCTTTGTACAGTCACAAGTAACGCTGCTGTCAAATGTGCCAACACCTTTGAGGAATTGTCAGACACCCATTTTGTTACGCGCGCGTGAACCTTGAAGGTCGTTGGCGGCGTGGTTAGAAAACTGCGCGATGAACCCCCGGAAACCTGAGTTTGATTCAACGGCCATGGCCGTTGCCGAGCAATATTTCAACGGGTCATGCCCATCTTCTTGGTACTTTCGGTAAAGTCACGTAGAAGAGAATGATTTTATTATGTTTTATTTTTATTATTTTATTATTTCCCTTCTACGTGACTTTACCGAAAGAACCAAGAAGATGAATCCCTGCAGTCACGAAAGCTTTAAATCGGGTCATGCCCACCCGCAATCCTTGCCTCACCAACACTTACTGATCTGCGTGGCGACGTATGGTCAAGCAACCAACATAACCTACGGGGCATCGAGAGGCTGTTGTCCAGTGGTGGATTGGCAAAGTGCTGTAAAGAAAAAGTGACTATTTACAAGCAAGTGGGAGACCGTTGGTATCTCTAACGTCTCTTTTGCTTGGCAGTTCTGGGTGCAAAACTTTACAGGAACTTTAGTGGCCAAACAGCAATATGCCAGCGATGACAATATGTGAGCACTTAGAAACTGGATGGAACATGCTAATTCCTACTACCTCTGTTTTCTGGGAAAACAACACATTCATGCATTTTTAAACAGAATAACATTGGTGGCGCACCATCCACGAGACGGCTGCTTTTAAATCCCATGGGCATAATGTTTGAACGTTCACTCCCAGAGCATCATATTTGAGCACTCGGCCGTATTCTTCTGCTGGCAATAAGAGCACAACAGCACTATAAACCGCTGCTGCGTAAACATAACCGTTACAAGGGCGTAAAGGAAACAAATGCCGTTGCTTTCATGTCAATTAATGCGAGGCACGATGCTAAAAACGAGCTGCTTGCACAGGCCCATTGGGCTGATGGGTTTATTTTTTTGCGATGCTTTACAAGCACACCGACATTCACAAAACTGCTCCCCAAACAGCATCAAGAACAGAAAGACGTGAACGGAAATGCACCTTCAGATGCTTTCTTTCGAGCAGAGAACTGGACCATTTGTATAAGTGTGCTGTTTGGATTGAGGACCATTGCCAGTGTGGCCTTGCGTCAGCGGTGGATCCAAGTGAGAGCAGGACTATAGGACCCCCCCCCCCGATCAACCTCCTTGGGAAGTTTCTAAATCTGTCTCCGACTTATATCCGGTTACATTTTGCCATACCTGTATGTTGTTTTGTGTTGGTTATTCTCCTCTGAATATTTCAGCTTTTGGGAAATGCCAATGGCAGTTTGACCGATGCTAAAACCTGCATAATCTCATTTCGAACCCCATCAAAAAGCAGAGCGATGGAGAGATACATTTACGACTTTTAACCATATACAGACGAAGAATTGCATTATTTCTAAACCGAAGACCTCCTGGCATGCACTCACGGGCCTGCTTGTTTTTTTTTTGCCCTCTGTGTCCCAGGGTCTCGGTAAATATGAAGAGGATGTCTACACAGAGTACGCGCGGGTCCTCTTCCTCCCAAACATCTATGAGGAGGCCCTTCTGCAGATCGTGGCACCCGACATCGCTAAGGGTAAGAAATAGGGCAGCTTCCTATTTATAGACCACTTTATTTTATATTTTTTTTCTCCAAGGCACTCCTGGTATCAATTGCAGGGCCAGTGGAACACCCACTGCGAGTAGAGCAATATATCCTGGCAGGGGACAGCATTCCAACTCGGACGCCAGAATGTCTCCCATTGTCTCATTCCGCAAGCCTCCCCTGTAGAGAACAATCTTCAGCTGCAGAATCAACACACTTTTTTTTTAATCCTCAGCTGCCAACACCATTATTTTGTACTGTCATAACCGGGTCGCGCATCCACCGAATTAAAGTTGCAGATACCAATTTAGGGACGGGGGTTTTTTTTTTCCGTGCAACTGTCTGCGGGGTGGGTTAAACCATCAACGTGAGAATCGTTTTGACGCGGCGGTCAGGCGACCTGCGGTTTGAATCACGGATCTCGGAGATGACGGCCGAGTGCCCCGACACCGGCATTAATCCTCCCGGCCATCCAGCCACATCAGATGACAGTTTTTTTGATTGCTTACAGCGGGGGGCACCTGACCTGCGTGTTCTGATCCAAAACGGGTCACCGGGGTTCACACGACAGACCAATGGGGTTGCGCACATCGCTCGCAAGAACACGACTGCAAATTGATATCGATGTACCTCATTACTCGTACACAAAAAAATGTATGTATCCATTAGGTTGTTCTATCTCGATCGCTCTCCGTCTTCTCCCATTTCCTTTCACGAAGCACTATTGTGCAACCTAGTTTCTGCGTTTCTCCCTGCCTGTTATGTGCACATATAAGTTTCGACCAAAAAATATATATTGCATTGCAATAACATTTTATAGGTTTTCCAAAATCACAATAATGACCACAACATGTTATATTTCCTGAGTACAGTATATGTGGCAGACATCATTACATTATCTGGTGTATATACTGAATATACAGTATATCAAATACGGTATATAAATACTGCGTCCAATCCAGTATAAACTTGTGTATGCATTCAACAAGCATAGCATGGGCACTCTGCACATTTATTGTGCAGCCCAAGATTGGGTTGTAAATTTACTGAGTAATGTTATGCAGGTGTGGATGCCAAATAGTGTGAGCTCATAGGTAACGTGCACGTCCTCATAGTTGTCCGGTGAATCTTCTGTTCAGCATTTTCGTGACATTTGAAACGTGACGTGCCTTGATGACACCATGCCTGGATACCACAAATATTTTCGTAGATGCATCTTTTTTTCTAAGCAACCTGTTTTGTCCAGATCTCAAGTGCAAACGAGATGCAGTGACTCAATTGGCTAGCAACTGGTATTTGAAAGCCATTCCAAAATTAGGACTTGTGTGCTGCAAGTGCTGTTTATGAACCAATTTTGTGTTCTCTGGTGGTGTAATGGAGGTTACTATTTGTGTCCTGTAGCGATTTAAATGCCACCAATTCTTACCACACGTGATACAGCCCCAAATTGTGAGAAAATGTAGAGTTGTACACAAAACTGAGCCGCAGTTTAAATCACCTTTGCACCAACCAATCATTTAGTCGTCACTCGGAAACACAGTGACCGTGAAAAGAACGATGACTTCGGTATGCTGTCGGAATTCTACAGAACATTTTCGTTTTCAGTTCGAGTATTATTCAAAGCAAACTTTAAAATTATACTTTTAAAAATGACAATTTAATTAGTAAGATCATCAAGGTTATAATTATTTTGCTGAAATAGGTAACAGGGGTCTGTTTATTTTACAGTCCATTCAGTGACTTGTGGTATGCAGTGATGTATCAGTTTATCGATTAACATGTACCGTCATCTTATGCTCATCGTACATGAATGTAATATTTTATTCAGAATTCATGCAATATACCACTATTACATGTTTATGCAGCGAACATAATCGTATATTTGGCAAGTTATTTTTTTGAAAGCAAAAAACATGATACAAACGAAATTAAAATTAATCAATGTTTTAATAGCATCTCACACACATTGACATTTCTATTACTGGCAGAGCGAATGGGGCTTTGGGTTTGCGTGGTGGTGGTGTACACAATTAGACTTTATATTAACGATTTACTGAAATGTTTAGTCCATGTTTGCATCTCAGACTTAAGCCTTCAACTTTTTAGTGTAAGAGATGGCTGGGTGGGTTAGGAAGTAAGAATGCTGAGCCTGCACATCTAGAATGTTTGGTTGAAATCTGGACAGCTGCCGTTATTAATTTGGTTCTCAAGTGTAGCGAATTGATGGTCTTAGTCCCGGTCTCCATTGACAACACAAAAAAGGACACATCATATAAAATGTAGTTTTGCTATTGATTTGGCAAAAATTCTCGAAAATAGAATTAAAAAATAACAAATTTCTATATGACAGTCAAACAATATCATAGCACAGTGTGTGGGAAAATGTACCACATACTGTGTAAATGATTAAAGAAAAAGGCTACTTGATTTCGGCAGGCATTCTCCTACATATGGGGTCTACTGCTCTGTGAGATTTGGAAAATGTCCATGACAAATGAGTCCGATACAATATTTGGAATAGGGGAAAAAATAAAAAAATCGAATCCAAATTTATTTATGACCACTTGTGTATATATGTATTAGTTGAATTTCTCTCTCACCATACATAGCCAACTTTGCTAATCGGAGGTGCGGGGGAAGGACAACAAAACACTTGTGCAAAAAATGATTCATATCTTTTTCCGTTTGGATGACGTTTCACGTTCGGATTGTTGTCGCAGCGATTCGAGCAGCCACGAACGAGAACAAGCACAAGCTCTTCCGTGACAGCGTGATGATACCGGCAGACAGTGAGCCAAACCTGCTGGCGCGTCTCGCCAATGAGCAGACACCCTGGAAGGCCGCTCGTTTCAGCGCCTTCAACCCACAGGCTCGCTCCTCCGACGACCTAGATAGGGAGCCAGGTGAGATCGCCATTGAGGAAGAAGAGGAGGAGGAGGAGAGCCCGGAAAATAGATCACCGGTCGCCGCAAGCAACACGCCCTCGGTCATGCAGAAGAAGGAAGCGGTCTCTGCTTCCGCGGGAGAATTTGAAAGTGAGCGAGAGAAGCATCGTAAAGTTGAAATCCCACAGGTGGTGCTGCACAAGGCGCCCTCTCGGGAGCAAGAAGGGTTTGACGTTTCGGAAGACAGCGTTTTCGACAGCGACCTTAAGAACGGCTTCGATGAATCTCCGGCCGTGGCACGTCGAGCCGCCTCCCCGAAACACCAGAGCCCGAGCAAAGACACCGGCACGGATGCGCCCACGCAGACGATGACCCTACTCGATCAGGCCGAACCAAAGTGGCACCGCAATTCGGACGGTGACGTCTCGGAGATTCTGGATGCCTTGACCGTGGTGCGCCTACCGGTCGAGGAGTTTTCAGACGTTGGTGGCCCGGCGGTGATGCGGGGGGGCAGCAGGAAGAAGTCATCTTACAGAGGTTCAACAGAGGATGCACACACCGAGGTCGAGGTGGAGTATAGGTCTCTGCAGGACAATGTGGATGGAAAAGGGGGGCGCGATGCACGCAGTCGTGATGAACAGCAGGAAAATGCGAATGTGTGCAATGGGTTTGCCAATGCGTCCCCAGCCCTTGAAAAAAAAGATGATGGTGATGATGATGAAGAAGAAGAGGCAAACGATTCTGTTTTTTAGCAACTGTGAAATCACAATTTTACAGCGGAGCACAAAACCTGACAACGGCCATTTTTGCTACTTTGTTACATGTTAGAGGAGCAACATAGGTATTATAAATATGCTTCATTTTTCCTAAGTGGAAAGAGGTGATTCATTATGGGGAATGTTCAACGTGTAAGCAAGTTTCAGACACTTTTGCCAGTTTCCACCACTCCATTTGCCACTTCTAAACTTGTAAATAGAAAGAATGACAAACAAATCATACAATTGCTATTACAAGGAAGGTCTTTTTTTTAGCTTTTTATTAAAATAACTTGGTATATTACTAAGGGGGGTTTATTGTTACAAGAGTGCGTATTAAAATGTCACCAAGTTTGATTCATTGCCACTCCACAGCTACAGAAAAAAAGGTATTTTTACATTGTGAACAGAAACACTCGTGTAAATTGTGGCAATTTTTTGTTATACATGCATTCCATACGAATAGTTTTTAGCACCAATATTTTCACAGGGATTATTTGTTTTCTGAAAAATGTTGCATGACGTGTTTTATTCCAGCGTAGGTATTCTTGGTATCCTTTAAAACATAATTATATTACAACACACCATCTTATGTGGCACCACACGAAGTAACCAATTTTCGTTTCGTTCATATTTCTACTTACATTGTAAATGTGGTTGTCAATTTTGTTCTATGCATGGAAAAGTATTTTAACCCTGCTGCAACACAAAGTAATGCTAATTCCCATAATTGCGTCTTCTTGCATGCTTCAGTGTTCATCATAGTGTGTGTGTAATATTTTATTCGCATTTAAGTACACAGGTACATTTGTATTTTGTCATGCTGTGATCTTAATGTATTTTAAGCTTTTCATTTTATCGCTTGAACATTTAAATCGGGCTTATTTATTAGCAAAAGTACAAGGGAAATATGACTGACGTACATTTGTTGGCATATGATGTTCTTACTCGTGGCCAGCAATGTATAAATGCCTTTTGACCAACATTTACATTATCATTACTGTACATATTACTTTTAATCTTCAACATTTAATTTAAATCCCCCCTCTATTTTTGCTAACTCTATTTAAATACTGTAATGCTCATTTAGCAATAAAGGGAACGTTGCTACGTAGTAAGTGAAATATGTGTTTAATATAGTTAGAATATTATTGTTACCATTGACTGACGTGATGTGATTGGATGGAGCCTCGAATTCACCCGCAATATGTGTCTATACACGAGACGGCCTTGCTAGAGACTACTTCTCACACAGATGGGATTCATGACATGGCCAAGTGATAATATGTATTCTTAGGTTTTTTCGTAAAGTCACGTAGGTAAAAAATTAAAATTAATAAAAGTCAAATAAAATAAAAATCACGACGTTTCGGAGGCAACACAAGCTTCCGTCTTCAGGTGGAACCGTCACAGCACGATAGCTGTATCAAGTAAGAGTATATGCTATGATGTGTCAACATTAGCCTCTTACTTGATACAGCTATCGTGCTGTGACTGTTCCACCTGAAGACGGAAGCTTGTGTTGCCTCCGAAACGTCGTGATTTTTTTTATTAATTAAAATTTACATTTTTTACCTACGTGACTTTACCGAAAAAACCTAAGAATATGAATCCTTGCAGTCACGAAAGCTTCAAATCTAGAATTAAGTGATAATATGGCTGAGTGGAAGTGCAGTTTACCACTTGTTGCAAAGGTTTGCGGTTCTAGCCCTGCTGTCACCCTGGTTAATAATGTGGCTATATTCATTGTTAATGTGCCGTCTCCTTCGCAGGGGATATTTATAAATAAATCCCGTGACATTCGAAATGGGCTAGGCCATTTGCTGGTGTCACTGTCCATATTTGAAAAATTTCCCACAAATTACTCAATTGGGAGGAAACGTAGCAATACCCCCACCCCACCTACTGCAGAATGTGTCTGTGAAACATGGCACCTTGAGAGCCTTGCGCACCTAAAAATGCCGCAAATACAAAATGCACCGATGATTTGGTTTGAAACAAAATAAAGAAGTCTCGGGCAATACTATTCCAAAGCATAACTGCTAACCGAAACTCAAACTCTACAAAAAGCTAAAGAAGCAGTGACCCTTTATATTTCATTTACTGAAAGCGAAAGAAAGGGCAATTGGAAACGACCACTAACAGCTAAAGTCTATTATTGAATGAGTAAATCCTATCTACGGTTGAATACAAATCTGAGTGAAACAGAGGTTTCCTTTGCCTGTATCTGTGGTGATAGTAGTTCCTCCCAAAGGGTTTTAAATATCTGCATTAAACAATGCTGGCGTACTTCAATAATGTGTCGAGTGTAATTTATTGTTCAAGGCACCATTTAAGAACGGTTATAAAGATACACTTTGGTTCTTTCGGTACAGACGCGTAGGTATAAAATAAAATAAATCACGACGTTTCGGGCGTAACACAAGCGTCCGTAATCAGGTGGGAAAGCTAAAGAAGCAGTGTCTTCCCACCTGATGACGGACGCTTGTGTTGCGCCCGAAACGTCGTGATTTATTTTATTTTCTACCTACGTGACTTTACCGAAAGAACCAAAGAGTATGGATTCCTGCAGTCACGAAAGCTTCAAATCAAGGTATAAAAATAACATCTGTGAACAGAAAATTTTAAAAGAGGAAACGCTGGTTTTTATTAAAAAAAAAATAATCCTTTGGTACAAGACATCTAAAAAGTAGTAGACAAATAGCTAAATATTATTGCCTGTAGTTTTATAAACATACGTACAATTTATTTAAATGAATGTGAACAAGCCACATCAGTCTGAAAGTAATTAACGTTTTCATAAATCAACCGGTTAACCAAAACCGTTAACATACCTGTCAACACCTTATCAGTGGCTACCTTATTACTGAACAATTCAGACCGTATTAGTCACCCCGTGCCCTTATAAATCTCAGCGTTCATCTTACAATCCCATCACAAGGGAGACACACAAATAAACAAAAAAAAAGGTTGCCTGTATTGAAACGGCTGTACGCCGTATGGACCTGAAAACCTGTACAAGAATACGGGGTAAACCGTATGGGTTTAGAGGTATGCGTTAAAATAGATTTGGGTTGAACCAAACTAAAAAGCAATCGGTTTCGATTCCCTCTATTTTTAACGGACCTCTCAATTTAGCTCATGGGCAGTTGACAATATCCAGTGGGTGGCGTGAGATTTCCCCATGGCAGAATGAGACCAGTGGAGAGTGTGGAATTACCGCGTGCCATTAAGTGCCTGTCAACCGCCTCAAATGTAAAATTAGTTGTAGCTCTACATCAGCATCAGCCATACGAGAATGAAGACCAAGTGCCGATTCTCAATCCTGTTAACTGCGTGAGTCGGCGTCGCAATGAGTGAATAATACGCAACTCTTCGCCGCGGGTACAATTGTTGTTAATACTCTGTCGGATTTGACGGCTTACCCCCTACTCGGGAGGTTTCATGTTGGTCAGTTGGGGTTGAAGCCACAGAGGATATGCATGAGAGCACAGTACAGTTCAACAATGAAATAGACTTTAATGCACTGCCCTCTGCTTGCCTACAACGTAGCTCTGCAGCCTAATAACATATTTTATGCATTGTAATGACGGCTTGACACACTTCTCTTGAGATGGCACTTTATTGAAGGCACGTTCACTTGACATCAGGCGGAGACCCCCACTGCAACAGCCCCGAGTCTCGCGCGCATCTCTCCCTTTTATACCGACACGAGGCCACGCCCCCCTTCTCGATCCTTCTCGCTGATTCTGGACGCTCGCTCCACCGGCAGACTCCACCGTCCTTTCCCGTCACCTGACCACGCCTCCTTCTCGAACATTCCCGTAGCCACCAGTCCCATCGCACTCACAACCGATACCCGTCATTACCTCCCGTGGCCACTAGTCCCCTCATACCGCATGCAGGCTCTATTGTCATTACACATCCAAGCACCATCCAGGCACTATCCTGCTTCGTGTCCGAAGCCTGGCGCATTCCGGTTTATTTCGTCAAAGACGATATGCCGCATACGTGAGGCTTCGTGGGTTAGGGTTACCACATTAATGGCTACAAGTGGTGAGCAGCCAACCCAACTCTTCATCATCTCCACCTGTTGTAACATCGGAGCCACGCCTGCTCAATCACTATAGCCTACATAAGAGGTTTTTTGGGTTAGACACACGTGGGCCACATTAACATTAGCTGCCCCGCCCATGCTGCTGACACACGTGGGCTACATTAACATTAGCTGCCCCGCCCATGCTGCTGACCCACGTGGGCTACATTAACATCAGCTGCCCCACCCATGCTGCTGACACACGTGGGCCACATTAACATCAGCTGCCCTGCCCATGCTGCTGACACGTGGCTACATTAACATCAGCTGCCCCGCCCATGCTGCTGACACACGTGGGCCACATTAACATCAGCTGCCCCTCCCACGCTGCTGACACACGTGGGCCACATTAACATCAGCTGCCCCTCCCATGCTGCTGACACACTTGGGCTACATTAACATTAGCTGCCCCGCCCATGCTGCTGACACGCGTGGGCTACATTAACATCAGCTGCCCCGCCCATGCTGCTGACACACGTGGGCTACATTAACATTAGCTGCCCTGCCCATGCTGCTGACACACGTGATCTACATTAACATCAGCTGCCCTGCCCATGCTGCTGACACACTTGGGCTACATTAACATTAGCTGCCCCTCCCACGCTGCTGACACACGTGGGCCACATTAACATCAGCTGCCCCTCCCATGCTGCTGACACACTTGGGCTACATTAACATTAGCTGCCCCGCCCATGCTGCTGACACACGTGGGCTACATTAACATTAGCTGCCCTGCCCATGCTGCTGACACACTTGGGCTACATTAACATTAGCTGCCCTGCCCATGCTGCTGACACACGTGATCTACATTAACATCAGCTGCCCTGCCCATGCTGCTGACACACTTGGGCTACATTAACATTAGCTGCCCCGCCCATGCTGCTGACACACTTGGGCTACATTAACATTAGCTGCCCCGCCCATGCTGCTGACACACTTGGGCTACATTAACATCAGCTGCCCCACCCATGCTGCTGACCCACGTGGGCTACATTAACATCAGCTGCCCCGCCCATGCTGCTGACACACGTGGGCTACATTAACATTAGCTGCCCCGCCCATGCTGCTGACCCACGTGGGCTACATTAACATCAGCTGCCCCACCCATGCTGCTGACACACGTAGGCCACATTAACATCAGCTGCCCCTCCCACGCTGCTGACACACGTGGGCTACATTAACATCAGCTGCCCCGCCCACGCTGCTGACACACGTGGGCCACATTAACATCAGCTGCCCCTCCCATGCTTCTGACACACTTGGGCTACATTAACATTAGATGCCCCGCCCATGCTGCTGACACACGTGGGCTACATTAACATTAGCTGCCCTGCCCATGCTGCTGACACACTTGGGCTACATTAACATTAGCTGCCCTGCCCATGCTGCTGACACACGTGATCTACATTAACATCAGCTGCCCTGCCCATGCTGCTGACACACTTGGGCTACATTAACAT